GTCCTTAATAGTTGCATTATTTAAGGCCCGATAATCGACATATATTTGCTATTTCCCTCCTAGCTTAGATACTAGTAATACTAGGCTACTCTAAGCTAAGTAGGAGCGAGCGATTAAGCTACGGATAAGAAGCTCCTTAACCTACTTCTCTTACTCTATTATCTATACTTAAAATAGTTAGTATAGCTATTAATTTACTAGCTTATAGTCGCCTATATTAATAGAGTACTCTATTGCTCTCTTTATAGGTAGCTTAGCTAGTAATAATAAGCGGAAGAGGTCTAAGTTAGCATTAATAAGCCGTTAGAGAGAGGCTTCCTTACTTAAGGGGGGAGGATCGTCTCTAGGCTTAAGGGGTAGGTTTCTATCGGGCTCTAAGTCCGGGGGACGGATATCCTCTATAGATATTAAGAAGAGAGGGAGATCTTAGTTCTATTTAAGGAGCTCTTCTAGCTCTTAAAGGGAATAGATATCTTTATTAATAGTCTCCGTCGTTAAGTAGTAGAGAGCTGCTCTATAGGGAACTATATATTTAGTACCCTTAACGTTTAAGTATAGCTTACTAGTCTAGAAGTTAATAGTTAGGTTATATTATCGGAACTAGGAGAGGCCTAAGATTACGTCGTATTCTCTTAAGTCGAGCACTCTCGCTATAAGAGTACTTTTAAAGTTCCTAAGCTAGTATAGAATCTCTATACTAGTTAAGCTTTCTATTAAGCGGCTATTAGGGAGTTTAACTTACCTAATAGGAAGATCTACTTAATACTAAGGGAACTAGGTAGTAATATCCTTAGAGACGTAGATTCCTAAAGCTATAATATCGAATAGGAACTTAGCTAGGACTTAGGTATCCTTCCCTAGCAAGCCTAGGGCTTAGAGAAGATTAGTCCTAATAGCATTTAAGTAATCGAAGCGAGCGTTAAGAGGTATCGAGAGTAAGGACAATTACTAGGGCGATTTATTATCCTTTAATAAATCGTTACTTAGTTTTTTAACTTAGATATATTACGAGCTTCCTAATTACGTTACTTAGCCTTAAGTTCTAGCTTAAGCTACTTAGAGCATTTAAACTAGATATAGCTAGCTACTCCGTAGTTATAATACTTCGGAGAGAAGTTAGTCGAAGTAGGCTTACGTAAGTTATCTTACCTAATACGTTAGTCTAAGGAGTTTAGGTRTTCTAACTACTAACGGGTAGCTCTCTTCTTTCCTCTAAGGGAGCGATAGGTAGCTCGGTTAGAGCGATTACGTAAGCCTGCTTAATCTAAGCGAGGCTCTCTACGTTATTCTATAATCTCTATATTAGCTATATTAGTTCGCTAGGCTTAGTCTACGATAGGCTATAAGATAGACTTCTAAGGAGTTAAGCTAAGGCGAATAAGTTCTATACGGATCTTAAGCTTTAAGCTATCGTAAAAGGCTTAATAGATAGTAAGATTATCCGGCTTARGCTAGAGAAGGCTAGAAGCTATTATTAACTTATAGTAGAAGGAGTTAAYACTCCTTAGCTGCTTAAAGCGGCGGAATTCCTTCTATAGCTTCTCTTAGTAGTAGTAATCCTAGAAGTAGCTTTAGAGACCGTTAAGTATTATCTCTAAGGTATAGCTTCCTTARTAGATAAGAGGCTTAAACTTAGTTTCCTAATCTTCCTACTAGGATAATRYATTCTTCTTTATTAAGCCCCCGATAAGGCTAATAAGCGCCTCTTCTATAGGTCTAAACCTCTAGTTAAGAGTAATTATATTATTTAAGTAGCGGTTAAGCTCCTAAACCTAGAGAGTAGCTATATTRTCCTTAATATCCCTATAGTAGTTAGCTAGGATACTAATAGTCCCCTTAATACGAGGGGCTCTCTTAGAGGGTTTAGAACCTCTATAGCGACGGTCCCTTAATAGGCCGTCGTTATTATCTAATCCGCTTAAATTAGAGCTATCTCTAGGGAATCCCGGAGCGGTTAGTAGTACTTAACTACCCCTATTACCTTTATTAGCTTAGATAGTAGCGGGAGGGTCGTTAAGACGGAACCGTACTAACCCTAAGTCGCTTAGTCCGCGTAGAATAGTAGTACCCTAGTTAAGTGCATCGTATTCGCGTAGTCGCTCGTTTTCGGCTTTAAGTTCTTAAAGCCTAGCGGCGACGGCTCTTAAGTAGGTCCTAAAGATAGCGTCTTCTATATCTAAGGCCTCTAGTATAGCCTTAAGTTGTCCTTCCTAAGGAGGGTTTTAGATATAGGAATGCAACTAAAGGTTATTAATTATATCGGTTAAGGAGTAGAAGTCGTACGACTCGCGCTTAAGCGAGCGTCGCGTAGGCTCTAAGGGTCCTACGACGATAAGCGGAGGGGCTTACTTAGCCTAAGAGGCATCTTAAGAGCGAGGAGAGCCTTCCTCGTCTCTTACCTTAGATAGGTTAGCTATTATTATAATAGCTTAGTCGGTTAAAGGTAGATAGTATTATAGAGGTAGGATAGTATAGTGCTTTAAAAGAGAAAGGTTATAACTCTTCCTTTTAAATTAAAGCATCCTACTTCGTTTAAGTATAGAGTCTTTCTTAAGCGCTATAGCGGCGAATTACTAAGACACCTTTAAGTAGGGCGGAAGGAAATAGGTTACCGTACGTAATATATTAAGTACCTATTATAGTTATCTAAGATATAGTATATTATATTTCTAGGATACTTAGCTAAGCTAAGGCGATTAGCGCTAGCTTAGTTATAGTAGTATATATTTAAGAGGGATTCTTACGGGATATAGCGTATTTAAACGCTATATCGGCGACTTTCTTAGTATAGCCCTTACTCGATAAGGTAGAGCGAGCTACTACGGCTCCGAGGACGGTTATAAAGCGCTTCCGAGGGCTCTAGCTTAGGTATACGGTCTAAGTTAGAGTTTTTACCTAGCTATAAAAGTATATAGCGTAACGCTAGCGTTAAGCTAACTCCTAGGGTAGTCTAGCGGAAGAGTTCTCGTCGCTTTAATCTAAGGGCTATATTAATATCTAAGATACGTGTTCTTAAGCTAATAGGCTTCTTTCTAAATCGTCTTATATAGAGTAATAGGACGAACTAGCTAGCCTACTAGCCCTAAGTAGGTAAGGCAGACTATAGGTCTAGCTAAGGAGCTAGACTTAAGCTTTTACCTACTAGATATTCTAAAATAGATAAACTCTAATTAAATCTACTTAAGGGAAAATTCCTCGGCTATATAGTCCTGCCTAAGTTACGTAGCTACTTAAGCCTTAGGCATATATGCTCAGTTCTTAAGTGGAGACTTTAAGAACAAAATACACTCGATTCCAGCTCAGGTTCCTCGTCACCCGGACATGGATCGATATTACATGGTGGGTCAAGCAACAAGCTCCAACCGCCGCGTTTGAGTTCTTCACGTGTAGCGAGCTGATGTATTGGCTTTTGTATGTCATCCTCATCATTCCGTCTAGTTTGCAGTGGCTGTTATTCGTGCTCTGCCGAACCGACCATGCAGCAGGAGGATAAGCCGAGGGGAAAATGAGGAGTCTATGGTGTATCCCCGCTGGCTAGAGCTCGAACAACATGCTGTGCTGCAGTTGCACGACATGTATGGTGCGGTGGGAGTCGCAGTCCTGGTGGCACCGCAATTTTGGCAAGTCGCGTAGTTCCTAAGATTTGACGGTCCCCTTTTCAATGGGTCTTACATGCCGTGCTTGCGTGCCCATTATCGTTGTCGCGACGGTATAACTTATTATGCTGCAAGGAAGACAATATTTTCGTGATGGGCATTCCGCGTCATCGTAGCTCACCGTGGCTCACAATTTCACAAGCGCGCGCATCGCTAGACCGCGGGCAAGGAAAAAGTGTCGATCCAACGATTTTATGATGCGCGAAATGCGCCACGTCGACATTGACGCCACACACGAAAGAAAGGGGACAATTAAAATGTGTCTTGCCTGTGTTGTTCGATTTGTTCGAAAGATTGGAAGACATCTCATAACGAGGACTGCATCGAAATACATCCGGAGCAACGGGAAACAAAGCCTTACCATCCCCGGTTCCATTGTTCCCTCGTGGAGCCCGTGAAGCAATTCATGGCACAAGCCGCATGCGGACGGCTACCAGGCGGTTGATGTAGTGGGATCTTCTTTCGGGAACACATAGCAGAGCAAAGTTGACGCCGCCATACTCGAAAGCTGGTATGAAGCGCGACCTTGCTAACTTACTGTGTACAAATTTGGTTGCTGCTCGTGAAAAGGAGATGCGGCCGAGGACTTTTTCGCAAGGATTGTTCTGTGGACTTGGTAGATTCGCCAGCCACACAGCCACACAAGGCCTGGAAACTATGTTAGGCTTTGGAATCTGCAGGGGTCGAGCCAGATCCGGGCCTGTGCTCCTCCATTTCCCCATGCTCATTCGAGATCTGGCAAGTGCTGCACCATGGTGTTGTCAAGGAGACGGGCATCATCCCWGGGGCAGCATGAACGGTGGGCTCGGGATGAATCGCCATGCTGGCATCACGCTGTTTGGTTGTGAGAAGTGTGATTCCGAGTGATCGTGTGGTGGACTGGCAAAGCAAGCTATATTGTGATCAACGCTGGGAAGGAAACAAGGTGTCAAGCACACGTCATGAAAGACGGAAACTGTCAGAGCATCGGTGTCGAACGCGTGGAAACAAACAAGAATCGATTCAAAGTCACATGAACATCGATTGGCTCTCGTTCCTGCCTCTGACGTATCGAAACGCAAGGAAATTGTCTGTGCTTCGTGCCTGTATTTKCTGGGTAACTTCTCCCCAGTGCGCCAGCCTCTCTTTCCATCTCTCCTCAAACACCCATCCTCCTCCTTTCACCGCGCATATTTCCTTGAGATACCCCATTGCAGCATACCATAATTCATGCGTTAGTGTTGCTGTTGTTAGCCACGGGTCAACCCACCACCAAACACAGAACGACCAGCTCAACCTCCACCATCTGCCGTCACTGCTCCGAAACGCTGGGAGGACATTGAGACGCGCAAACCCGCCGCCACCATGAGCTCCAAGGCAGTCRACGTCCCCACGGACGTCAAGACCAAGGAGAAGGATGTCAATGCGAAGCTTCAATTGTACGGAATCTACGAGGCATTTGCCAAGGGCAAGGTGCCATCCGTAAGTGACTGAGATCTATCCGCAGCCATGATGCGTCTTGACGACTGACTCTGTGCAGAACAAGCAAATCGATGTTGCGATGAACAGTGCGCTTTCGTGGAARCAACTTCAGAACCCGTCGAAGAAGCTGTCTCCGGACGGCCAAAAGTTGGTCGCCGACCTACGCACCGTCATTGAGCAAGCCAAGCTTTTGCTTCTCTCCAAGAACCAAGGTGATCTGCTCCAGCAGTTCATCTGGCAGACTCAGCACATCGGTGCGGGCAATGCCGGCGCAGTCGGCGCACCAGTCGACAAGGACACTGCCAAACAACATGGCAACCAAGCACTTGAAGGTCTTCGTACCCTCGCCCAGCTCGTCATCACCAACGGACAGTTCCGCAAGCTTTGTCAGTACATCCAAGCTCTTCACCCCTCATGCCATTGCTGACTTGCATTCAGTGAGTGACGCATCTGTCCTCGTTCGCGACATTGTCGGCGATGCTGCACAAAACGCGGCTTCGACCGTCAAGCCTGATGAGGAGCGATTAGAGAAGCTTGATGAGCCTGCACCTGATAACACATGGCATGACGCTCCTGATCTTAGCAAGGACAWCATCAAGAATCAGATTCAGTCCAAGGTGCCAATTGGCAAGGGTGACGCCAAGAAGGCTGTCGGAGATGTTGCGCAAGCTGCCAACCCTGACGGCTCCCGCGACCCAGCGGACKCTGCCAAGGTCGCTCAGAATGACGCTCAGCAAGGCAACAAGTCCACCAACTTGGATCTCAACAATGCTGCCCAGACCGCACAGGCGAAGGCAAAGCAAGCTGTTGACGAGAATGTGGACGAGGACCAGAAGCAGAAGGCTCGCGAATACCGCGAGAAGACCAACGAGTACTTCAAGAAGAAGGTCCCAAAGGAGCGCCGCGAGCAGACGATCTACAGACTGTACGTGCCCGCGATTGCATTCGTATGTAACAATCATGCTGACTATCCAATAGGAAGAAGATGATCGTTGAGATTCAGGGCCACTCCGACTGTACGTCTATCGAGGATAACCTCTTTATCGCATGATGTGCTGACAACATGCAGACCAGCAAGCGATTGACACGCTTCTCCGCCTGGCCGAGGAGTACACCGGCCACACCAAGAATGTTGCTGGCCAGACTCAGGGCGCAGTGAAAGGTGCCCACACCCAGGACAACCTCGTTGGCGCGGAAACTAACCTGAGGGTAATTACAGAATTCACTGCGAACAGCAAACCGATGCTGACATCACTCAAGGTTCTTCTTGAGCGCTTCGCCAACAGCACCTCTTTCGACGATCTCTTCGAGTCGATCAACCAGATCTATACCGACGCCGATAACGATCCCGAGCTCAAGGGCTGGTTCAAGGACATTGATCAGTTCGTTCGCAAGTGCTTGAAGGAACAAGGCTACATTCTTCAGGAGGAGTCCGACCAGGCGTGGAATAAGCTTTACGACCATGGCAACTTCCTCCTCCGTGAGCGTTACCGCAACCACACCAACCGCATCGTGGACGAGACCAAGTTCCTCGCCGAGCAATTTGAGAAGGACCCCCAGAACAAGCAGTTTGGTGATTCGATGGACAAGCTCTTCAAGGATCTCGGTAACGACGCAAATGGAAAGCCTGAGTTCAAGCCTCACTTGCTCAAGGACCTCAGCGAGGTCATTCTCCCTGGTTTCTTCGAGAACGTCCGTTACGTTCCAATTCCTCGCATCGAGTTCTCGGACCCCATGATCGATGCCGTGATCGAGAACCTTGTCATCGAGGGCGACAACCTTGCACCCAACATGATGGAGTTCGGCAGCGACAACTACTGGAAGTGGGGACGCAAGACCTTCACATCTAAGAACAAGAACTCTGTGCTGCTCTCAGTTTCCGGGATCCAGATGGATCTTCGCGATGTCGCTTACTACGTAAGTTTGCAAGAGGTGCTATTTGAAACGTGAAACTAATGCCCGCACAGGTCAAGAAGAAGGAAGGTTTCCCAGGTGTCACTGACAAGGGTGTTATGGATGTCTTCCTCGGAGGCACTGGCCTGAGCTTCAAGGTTGCAATGGAGACGGCCGACAAGTCTGACAAGCAGCACTTCTTCAAGATCAGCAAGGTGACTGTCGAGTTGAAGAACTTGAACATCAAGCTGAAGCAGTCCAACCACAAGCTGCTTTTCGGCCTCTTCAAGCCCCTCTTGTTCAAGGTCCTTCGTCCAGTCATCCAGAAGGCTGTTGAGAAGCAGATCCGCGACAGCGTGAYTCAAGCCGACGCCTTCCTTTACCAGGTCAAGCAGGAGGTTGACAAGGCTGTCGAGGAGGCGAAGAACAACCCTGACCCAGAGAACCTTCAGAACATCTACCAACGCTACTTCACTGCTTTCCAGAAGCAGATGTCCAAGGGCGAGCAGAAGAAGAAGGAGTTGGAGGCCAAGAAGGACCAGACTAGGGTCAACGTCGCTGTCACCCAGCACGACTCTATCTTCAAGAACATTGCCCTTCCTGGCGGCATTAGCACCAAGGCCACTGAGTACAAGGACTTGGCTGCTAAGGGCGAAGAGTGGCAGTCACCAGTGTTCTCCATCGGATCCGCCGGCGAGTCTAAGGGCCTGCCAGCTGCTGCCAACGTCACCCGCAAGCCTCACAGCGCAACCTCAGCCGTCCTCCGCGGTAAGGACGGCAACCCTGTGGCACCCTCCGCCAGCACTCAACAACAGGGAGCCGGTTTCTCGTCACAGGTAAATGAGGCTTTCAAGCCCGACACCACCACCGACACCACCCTCGGCCGCAACAACCCGGTCTTCCAGGGACAGGTTTAGGATGACTCGAGGATCATCTCCTCTTACACAGCCACAAGCCACAAGCCAGTACGAGCATGACCACTGATGCCAGTTCGTTTTCGGAGAAGCTTATGACAGCCATTTCGGGCGTTGGACGAGCGAGAGATACCCAGGTCTGGACCGTTTGCGGATTGATTGAGCCTTTTCCTTTGTTATGCGATCGATACCCAATAGCAAAAGTCACAGCAGCAAGAAAACCCAGATAATTCTAATGCGTATGCGAAATTGTTTCAGATACGGATGTGTCAAGTCTCGTTGTGTCACGTTTTCCCTGTGCATAGTCTTTGATTTGAAAGCGAGATGCAAAGTGCAGATACCGATGCTTCGAGAAAATATTCCGCAATGACTTGAGAGTGACAATGTTTAAAGTTCGATTTGGTGCCGCGATAACGCTAATGCTACAGAAAAGCACGGGTATCTTATTCAAGCGCGCGATGAAGTCCCCCCAAGAAAGATGCTCCCTCATGATGTCCGCCCAATACATCGCATCATGACCTAGATAGCTATCTTCTCATCTGATTCTGTTTTGTTTCATGAAGGCCTTCAAGGGCCTCGAGTCCTTGGTGGCAACATACCAATCACCATGGGATGCACCCCAACTAACGCAATGGGAGAAGTATTCGAATTTTTCCTGGACCAACACATTCGCAACCGAACCGACGTTCCTCGCTTGGATCTTATGGCCAGCGGGGACAAACGGCTTGAGGCTGACCACCTTGCAACCTTCCTTGAGATCAAGAAACATGTCCGCCAGTGTCGCGTTGAGCTCCGGCGTGAAGGCTTGATTGTTAACGAGGACAACGTCTGCGCGCTGGAGTACTTTGCCAATGTCCCTGTCCGTGGTGAAGTCGCCACGGCGAAGGTGGACTTTGCCCACGGAGAGGCCCCAGAGTCGGCTTCGCGCGGGAAACTCTTTGGCCTGGAGGTCGGCAAGGTCGCATGGGTTTGGCATCATTTCAATGCCCCAGCTTTCGCAGCCAATCTCGAGCGCTGCCTGCAGTACCACATTTCCTACCCCTGAGCCGAGATCAAGGAAGACTTGCTCGTGGTTCAATTTTGTTTTGCGGAAGATGTCGCTGCAGAGAGGAGGGAATAGTTCGCCGTAAACGTTGTCAGTGCCGTTGAGGTACTTTTTGAGGGTCTCGACTTTTGGCGATACGGTGCGGGCGTAGATCTGATCGAGAATGCGCTTCACCCACTCCAGATCCAGACTGCGAGTCTCGCGCAACTCCTTCTGCACTGTGCCGTCGTCCAGAAGCTTGCTCAGCATTTCGTTGAAGTCTTTGACAATCGAAACAAACTCGTCTACATCCTGGTGAATCCATGCGCGGTTAAAACGTCTGTCGTATCCAGTCTCATCGTGGCTCCATTTCTCGCTCAAATCTTCTGGGAGGTATCGTGTGCAAATCATCTTGACCGTTTCCGTGATGTCGTCCCAAGGTTTATAGTCTTCGTGCTCATTCTTGGGAAACTTCAACTCAAATTTCTCGCGCTGACTTCTGCTTGGATATTGCAGCTCCGTGGACTCGAACTCATCGTCATTCCAAGGGTTCTTGAACTTCTTCGCGTACACCCCAGACGTCGCGTGTGCTCCGTGGACGATGTCTACCTTTCCACTCTCCCCAAAGGCTTTCATACAGACGAGATTCCGGCGCGGCGCATTATCGTCAACGGAGCTAACGCTGCTTTTGATGCGCTTGCGAGATGCATCCGAGTCGCTTCCCCCAATGTCGCTGCTGCCGTCTTCTTCGTCGTCGCTACTGAATAGTGCACGCTGCGGCGTTACACTCTTCTTCCGCTTTACGCCACGCGCGGCAGATAGCGCTCGTTGCGCGGGATTTGTGGGTTTCTTGGAAGTCGTTCCAGTCGGCTTCCAGCGATCGGGATCGTGTGGGCGAGCGGGCGCTTTTTGTGAAGGGGCAGCGACAGTGGTTATTGGGACTTGAATAGTCTTTTTGCGAATCACCGGCTGCTTTGCGGTCGTCGATTTGGAGCGAGAAAAGTTCATCGCGTGATGTGTGTTGCAAGGCTAACGGAGGTGTTATGTGTATTGTGTATGCATGCTCAAGTGGGCAGCGTGTATGCTGTAGAGATAGTTCGAGGTGGGTTGTGGTCGAGTCCTCAGTGATGTCGCTGTAAGCATATGAGGATTGATCAAGTTGGAGATTGTTCACGAAACAGCCTGGAGGCGAAGTACTCGAACCGAAGGGAGCGAGGCAACCAGGGTCACGTAGGGCTGAAGTTTGTGCCGGATGTCCGACAACCACGTGGATATCCACATTGTTCCGTCCAGACGGGACGCAGACCCATGTCGAGGCCTGTTCGGCGGTAGGCGGCATGTCGTAGCATCTACCCGTCTGCCTGATCAACTGCCAGCATCCTGGTCCATTGGCCATCGACATATGATGGCCGCTGACGTACATGTAATGCAAGCAATGGGTCAACCGAAAGTAAACACAGGTAAGGTAGCTACGTTGTTTCCGTCTGTTTCTCCTTCTCATCTTCCGGTCGTATTGGACTCCATTCATCCTTCCGAACTCATCATGGAGAGCATCTCGGAGAGCAACGCAGCCAAAGGCGACCCGGAGTCTCTCAAGAACAAGGTCCTGGAGGTTGGTGTCCGACCCCTTTATATTGACAATGAACGACAAGCTGAAGAAGCCAGACCGGAGCTTCCATGATTCAAAACTTCGATCCACCGAAGCGCATCTGTGCCCACCTGTAAGATAATCCATGCTTTTCTGGAAGAGATCTGATATCCCTCAGGAACGCTTTCCATGTATACGCCAACGACCCGACGCGCGTATCAGAGGCCAATCACTACTGTGCACACGGCAAGCCAAGATGATGCTCCTACGTTGAAGCACAACTGACCCCTCTCAAGTCAACGACGACATTCGTCAATGCATCCTCTATGATGGCCCAGGCCCAAACGCTCGTCTCATCGGCGTGGAGTACATGGTAACGCCGAAGATCTACAACGACCTGGATCTCGAGGAGAGGAAGCTCTGGCACTCACACGTCTTTGAAGTCAAGAGCGGCATGCTCATTATGCCGGCTCCTGTGGGAGTACCCGACGCGATTTGGGAGGTGGCAGAAAATGAGGAGATGAAGGAGGTCGTACACCTCTACGGTATGTTGACACTGTTTCCTTTGATCCTGGACACTGCTCACACTCTCCATGCTTTCAGGCAAAGTGTTTCAACTATGGCAGGTCGATCGCGGCGACAAGGTTCCTCTCGGGAAGCCAGAATTGATGACGAGCTTCACTGCAAAGGACCAGTTCGACTTTGACAAGTTTGTTGGTGATCGAGACGCTAGATTTGGAGTAGATAGCACGAAGAAGGCGGCGAGTAGAGCGCATATCGAGGAGGTGACTGTCCACGAGGATGCGGACCAATTGTGGAAGAAATGGGACAACAAGACAGTTGAATGAGCGAACGACAAGAGTGGAATAGGATTCGCTAAGATCAAATGCATTCATTATGCTACTACTGGGTATCATCTTCCAATCTGTTGCAACAACCTATTTTTCGTGCTTATTTTCAGTTGACATTAACAATTTCCTGCCCGACCATCGCTTCCTTTGTCGCGTCTCTCTGTTCCCTCGCAATTTCATCCAGGTCGATAGTGCCATTCTCAGCCATCTGCGCAATGACCCTCTCCCGCTCGGCCCTCCTACGCTCTTCATCCTTCTTCTCCTTCTTCTGCTGCTTCTTGATCTTGGCGCGTTCTTCAATCTGATGCTTCATTTCTAGACTTGGCAGAGCGTTTCGCAAGTCTGGAAGAGCAGCCCTCAGCTGCCGTTGCTTCTGGGTCTTTTTCATCTTTTTGGCCTGAGCGGCTTCGACAAAAACTTCGGGGCGATTCTGCATTTGCTTCGCTAAGAAGGCGTTAGACGCGGCCTCCCCCTCTTCGCTCGGCGATGGTTGTGCAGCTGGAGTGCCCCCGATTCCCATGGTTGTCGATGCTGGAGAGGGAGATGTCGACAAGCTCTGGGCGGAGCACGAGCCACTCGGCATGGTGTGATCCGTTGGCGGCGTCAAGGGACCTTTGACACTCTCTGAGGAAGACTGAGACAGGCTTCCCGCAGAGTGAGACGCCGGCGTCTCTGGAGACGATCTCAGCCATGGCTCCGAACGTGATCCATCGGGGGTCGATGGTGGTGGTTGAGTCGTTGTGGTGGGCGGCGGAGGAGTCGACGATAAAATTCGTTGAGACTCAGGAGAAGCGGCGGCGGCGGCGGCGGCGGCAGTGGCGGTGACAGCAGCGGCTCTCCTAGCTCTCCGCTCTTCTTGATCTTTCTTCCGATTGCGCTCTTCAATCTTCTTGCGGGTCTGGTCTGCTGCCTTTTGCTGTCTGGCCGACCTCTTCATGATGCCGGTAGATAGTGGCGTCGAGTAAACTGGAGTGTGAAGAAAGCAGTTCAGTGCACGCGCGGAGTGGTTGGGATTCAACCGCGTATGCTTTGTGTTGACGGAAGAGTGGTATGGGAAGATGTGATGTGGTTTGGGCAAAAAGGAAGACAGAGGAGAAGACATAGGACTCGCCTTTTTGTGCTCTTGCGGAAAATCTACGTATTGAGGACAGCCATTGAGGACAGTGGTTCGAAAATGCCCAGCTGCTCCCATTGGATGCCAGTGTGCCATATTTTGGAAACTCGACACAATAGCCGACTTTATTGAGGACAATGATAAATTTTCCCACTTCGCTCCGGAGCGTTTCTTAGTCACTGGGTCTACCAGAAGGGGAGATAAGTTAGTGCAGGGATTGTAGTACCCGGTGATAAACCCACGTAGCTTGCGAAATAAAGTAGTGCTGTTTCTTGGTCTCGCCGGTTGGCCGGAAGAACAACTGACGTAGGACGCCAAAGGCTCTCAAGATAAATAGAGGTGCTATGAAACAAGAAACAATTCACTCACTCCGGGTATAACCAGCCATGTACGCCTTGAGCTCCCATCTGCAATAGGTCCCATCCCGACATCAATCATTCACGTAAAGACTCCCGCGCGGCGCATGACGCTCTCAAAATCGTCGAACCCGACTCCACCGAGCCCGCCCCCAGTTGCTTCTCGAATCATGTCTTTCAGCACGTTGTCCGGGACGTCTTCTCGAAGATCTTTTGCAATTCTCTTCAGATCTGCGAGCGTGATGGCACGGTCTTCGCCCTTGGTGAAGAGATTATACGCTTTGGCGACTTCCTCGTTGATAGCATCGGGGTCGTCGTCTCGGGCATGCATCTTTAATGCTGCGACTGCGACAAAGTGTTCATAGGAGACAACGCCAACGCCGTCTGGGTCTATCGTCTCGAGCAATTCGTGCCATTCCGCCTGATCTTTCGCGGGCGCATTCAGCGCTACCAGACAGCGTCGCACGTTCTCCGTCTTGATGACGGGATCTTTGGAGTCGCGATCACTGTCCTGTTCGGCGAAGAGGTCGAATGCCTCTTGAATCTCTGCTTCCTCCTCCGCGCTGATCTCATTCTCTTTGGCGAGCTTCGAGCGTCGCTTCGTGGGAGCTCGTGGCGCCGAAGCCGCCGGTTGCTTGCGCTTGGGAGCCTACCAGGTGGAGTCAGTGTATGTCGCTCCGTCCAGCACGCCTTTGGACTGACCATTCTTGCCGACTATAGCATGATGATCTTACCAGAGGATCGAGCTTGAGCAAGGTGACGTCTTCGTGCAAGGGCATTCCAGCGGCCTATATCTATCACTTGCGCATGAACAAAGAGCTGTTACTAAGCGGCACTCGCGTCCCACTAACACCGTCCAAATTTCTCTCCACCTCTTCTTCCTCTTCCTCTTCAACATCACCACACCGATGAATCCACCCAAACGCCCGCAATTGCAGCTACTAGACATCGGCAACTCTCACATGAGACGTGGCCTTCTTCTAGCGAGGCACTTTGGGGATCTCTTGGCTGGATTAATTTGCTCTGAATATAAGCTAGAGCCTGCCTTCTTCAACCATCAGGGAGAGCAGGTGTGGACAACAGAAGCTATATTGAACACGTTGACTGTGCTACGGCGCATTCATGCTTCACGGATGTCTTTTGTGGCTTAAGTGCTGCGAGATGGCATTACTGGAGCGGACATTTCTTCAAGATGAGCGAGACGTCAGACGGAGATCATCTCCGATGTCGAAGCATTTCTCAAATACATACAAACGCTATACAAAGAATTATCATTGCTGAAAGACTCTCACCATGCATGCATGCATTCCTTCAAAGTACTACTACTATCCTCGACGGAATTTTCTACATGCTGCTTCGTTCTTTGCATTCCTCCCACAGTAATCAAAGCTACAAGCCCTCAATCCTTTCTGATCAAGTCTTCAAGCCTCACTACCACTCAGCACCCATCGAAGTCATCCATACATTCAGCCAAATCCACGCTGTCCCTACAAATCATTAGTCGAAAGTCGACTCTCAGCCAAACACTCTCAGGCCATCACCTACTCCTCATGGACCCCTGCCAGGAGCCTCACAGCCTGCACGATCAAACCCCTCGCAACCCTCAATTCATCCTCAAAACTCTTCATTGCCGGTAATCGCTCCAAAGCATCCTCTACAACCTGCTCGTACTTTTGTCGGTTGTAGGTTCCCGCGATGAAGACCCAGTATGACTCGCTTTTGATGTGATATTCAGGACCGCAGCGACGGTAGCGGGCGATGGCTGTGATGACGGAGTGGATTGCTTGGTCGAAGGCGGTCGTAGGCATTTTGTGGGCGTTGACAGGAGGCTGTAGGTCGAACGCTGTATGTTGTACACGGCTGATGCAGGTCATAAGAGAGCGATGAAGAAAATCACGAACAGCATGCCTGCCTATGAGACCATTTGCTTGCATGTAGCAAATACAGCGAGATCCTGAAATGGCAAACTTTGGTCTCGGACTCCAAACAAACCTTTGTTCAATTCATGGGCATCAAAGGTATGCTCATCGGATATATGGAGTGTATGCTACAAAGGCGGTAACGTCTCTCGACAGATCGGACACTGCAGCCTATACTTGAGCCAGCCTTCCAAACAAGCGCTGTGAAAGATGTGGCGACAGGGAGTGACCATGTACATGCGTCTTGCAAGCAGTCCACCACCAAGACTAGTATCTTTGGGAGCACCAGCTTCAATGACTGGCACTTCCAAATCTTGCATGCAAATTGCKCAGTCAAACACTCGTTTCCCCTTCTCTTTGGTCTCCTTGGCGACCGATCCACGACGAGAAGCGTCTCCGCGCTCTTGTATTGGCGACGACGGAACGGAGCCATCGGCGGTAGCCTGCGAGAAGCCGATCGGCATTGTCGCGCCTTCTTCGTCTTCGCGTAGGATTGGATGGTAGTCGTACGCCGGCGGTGCCCAGTCACCTTGTGGCAGGAACCATCGTGGTCCAACAAGCTCTTGCGAGACTAGCAATAGAACCTGAGCCCAGACCCAGACGACGAGGATTGCCAAACTGTAGTAGTCGGTGTTCGTGAAGAGGACATTGTTCTTGTACGCGAAGAGGTAAGCAAAGGGTAGAAGACGAAGTATGCTCTGTCCAATAACGAATTCCCAATTCAACGCGTGTCGGCAATTGCGCTGGACGTTTCGGAGGATCTGGGGTACCCAAAAGCTGACGTAGAGCAAGCTCAATAGTGTGAAATAGACACGACGAATGGGAGCTGGCCAGGCCGTGGCGTTGATGCTCAGGAAGAGTGTGAATAGTAGCAGAAGATAGAATCGTGTGAAGAGTGAAGACAGCCTAGGCATGCGGGCTGCCACTCGAGCGTTGAGGTCTACTGGCGGACCGGAAGTAAGTCCGACTTCTTCAAAACCAGCTTGGTCGGATGGCATAAATATGGGGGTTGCACCTGTGTCGACCAGGGCAGGTCGTGTAGCAGTGACCGGTAGTGGGAGACCGCCTGGTTCCACCCGGACATTTGGCGGTGCGGAAGCTGGTATAGTTGCAGTTGGCTGTGGAATTGATTCTGGTGGCGTCTCGGTTGTAGCTTGAGAGTGTGCGTCTGTCGCTGATACATGCTCTTGCCTGCAGCAGGTCAGTATGGCCAATAGCAAAATCCACTCCAGGACGGTCTTACACTGTCGCGGTCCTCTCCGCACGAATACGAGCCAATGTTGCAGTGAATGCCTCTTCTCTCGCTTGTTCTTCCTCGACTTCTGCTCTAACTCTCCTCTCTCGCTCAGGTGCCTGTACATCCCACAAGAGCGAAAGAAATCTCATGCCGAAGAACACAACTGACATGAACCCTAGAAAAGCAGTAGCGACCAGGTTGAACCAAATCCCAGAATAAATGGTGCTGACAACGACGAAAGATAGGGTCACCGACCAGTCGCCAAAGATCAAGAATACAATGGTGTAAAAGCTCACTCGCGATCTCACAGATGGGGTATTGGCCTCGCGCATCTGTCTCATGAGCAGGAAGAGCTGTAGAGACAGTAAAAGGGTATACAAAAGGAGATGCTGACGGCTGTGCTGGTATTGAATCTCCATCTTCGGTCCGGAGAGGTGGTTCCCGTCTTGGACGAAACTCTCCGGGGGTCCACTTGACTCCAGGACATAGCCGCAGTCTGGAGAGAATGCTAGCATCGAGAATCGAAGGTCCGGAACACCACGCACAATCGCTCCAGTCGGAGACTTCAATTCATTCTCCAGGAATGTCATCGTCGAGGGCGAGTATTCATCAAATCCTACTGGTGCCATTTGCTGCAGGTACACCACGAGGTCGCAATCCGGTGTCAAGAATCGCGAATCCATGGACGGGTCGAAATGAGATGACCAGGGGTTGCGCGAGCTGAGCTGTCCATCGATCTGCTTCAGTATTGTTTTTGAGATGGATTCGTTGAGCAATGCCTTTGAGTGTTCGAATGTGCGATTTGACAACGCGAGGTGCGGGAGCAAGAAAATTCCTTTGAACTTGTCACTGGTGGTGGTGAGAATAGCCTGTCCAATGTCTTGAAAGTAGACACCGTGCATGACGGCCTCCCAGGAATCATATGTATCGTCGTCCGTGATCTTCAGCTCGATGCTCATTCTTGTGGTATTCCTTGCGCTGGGAACGTCGACCTGTAGAGTTTCCATGAAACGAACTGAAGCATCACCCTCATGACCCGTCACATTGCGGTCGAAGCGGGTGGGAAGACCCGGCTGGCCGAGAGGATTCAGAGGCGCATATTYGGATAGGTTGAGATGTGGCGGCGAAATGCCTTCCTGTAGTTTTGAACGTTTCCATTTCCCGTGCAGATATCCGGTCACATCGTTATACAGCGGCGTTGCGCGATCCTCGGGCACCGTCTCGCCGTCCAAAGTTCGTGGCCCAAAATCTCCGAGAGCGTACTGTAACTGCTCGCGGGCCCTGTCCTTGATCCTAGAAAGGCAATCCCACGAAAACCCTCTTTCCGGCTCCACGCCCGTGACATTCAGCTCATGGCCCAAGGTACCAAAATCTGCGTCCCAGGTCGAGTTCTGAACGACGGCGAGTGCCAGCTGTTCCTGTGCAGGCACATCATCAACGACAGTGCTCCTCTGCGGCGATCCMGTATCACGGGGCAGAAAGATGTAGAGTAGAATGAGCAGCGGTACCAGAGCACCGCGACGATCGGCCATTCATTCCATGGAGCAGAGCGATGTCCTGAATGTCTTGTGATGGCACGATGGTCAACGTCGTGGACTCCGTGCTCTGCCGATGTGCTAGATTCAGCCGCCCTATGGCCGGGCCGGCTTCCGGTTGAAAGATCAAGCGTTAGCGTGTCTTGAGCGCGTCAMACGTGATGGTCAGGCGGGGAGCTGCGGGGTGCTTTGTGCTTATCGACCCTGCCAAACATCATATCGTAGGTATCGTCGTCGACGTTGACACCCAAGATAACCTCTCAGCTCTGTAACACCATCACCTCGACGCTCTCTTTACAGAAACGAGCCGTCGTTTTCGTTGCCATCTGCCACAAACAACCTGCTGCTCCCGCGCATCCCCGTCTGAACTGTCTCGCTCAAACGTAAGCCTTGGAAAGCTCCAGGCAACAACTCGTCACTTCCAGATCACCACAGACCTCTTCCCCACATCCCTGTCTTATCCACCTCACCTTCTGTTGACCTACCTGCCTACCTTTCCCTCCTCCTCGCCGTCCGCTTGGATCTTCGCCCTCATCGATGGATTCCCGCGACGCGAGACAGCTGCATCAGTCATCGTCTCATGACACACTAACCGGTCAGGTGTCACAGCCCGAAGCTCCAACTCAGCACCAAACTCTCGAATCGATTCCGCTACATCCGCTCAATCTCAACTTCCCAACTCTCAACGACGACGGCTCCATTCCCGACCTGACCGCACATCAGTCGGCACATCGTTCATATCCGCCCACACCGCCTGCTGCACTGAGCTCGCTGGGTATTCGAGCCAAGATGGCGGGCAAGGAAGCTATGAGCGACTCAGGCAGCTCTTTTGCGGACAGTCAGTATGACATGATCGACGACCTGTCCGATGTGTCCAACGACGACCACGACACGGCGAGCATCGCCTCACACGACGGGCCCAGCGGACAACTGACACCGGATTACGCCCAGAGCGAGGCAGATGATACGGAAGAGCAGACGGAATCGCTACATCACACCGATACGGCTATCCCGTCTCCCTCCTTCGAGTCATTCGTCGCTCTGTCTTCTCCATCGTCGAGACGATCTGCATCGCCATCTCATKCTGTTCCTACTCAGTCGAAGCTTCAGATGAAGGCGGAGAACGATTTGATTGATAGTTACACGTCAGAGGATCTCGAGACGCCTCGCCAGTCGACCATGCCAAACGCGTTTGCCAGCACCTATCGTCTGTCTCAGCGCATGTCGGCAGATCGTGCTACGCATACTGTTCAGACCGACCAATGTACCAACCACATCCTCTTCATCTCTGATCGAGACATGCCTGTCTTGGATATGGAAGTCATCTGTGCTAGAGCTGCCTACGGCATGGATGTTGTCGACCCGAGCAGTGCCCTCGAATACACAATCAAGCGTCTCCCAGCTACTCCATCGGGTATGCAGCAAGCATCTTTCACGGTGATTTGTGGCGGAGAGAGCGCCTCTGCGACAGTTCAGCACTGTATCAGTGCCGAGAGGCGGGAGAACGACTCGTACAAGCTACAGATCCTTGATTCGGACGACGAGCACAGCTCCTTCTACACCATCGGGCAAGATGCAAAGATTGACCTACAACCTCCCCAGCTCGCCATCTTCTATCTCGACGCATTCACACACGGCATGGCTTGGTTCGATACTGCCCTCAGCGCTGTGCAGTCCTTGAACGTCCCTATTTTGGTCATTCGTGATAGCGACCTGACTCCAGCCAAGTCAACAAAGATTGGGAATCAAGGCAGCGGATCACAGCTCATCCTGGACTCGAAGCACTTCATGGACATCGACCGTGCAGAACTGCCCAAAACCATTCTCAAGATCATCGGCAAGGATCAGGCACCATCTCCAAGTCGTGCCTCCAACTTGGAGGCATCTGTAAAGGAAAAGTCTACTGGCAACAGCCTGTCTTTCAGGGTCGTGCTCATGCTCCTTGCCCTCCTGCTGCCAATCACTATGCTCTCCACTCGGCTTTCCTCTACAGCCAATTCAGAGGTAGGTCTTGCTGTACGGCGCGAGGCCCTCACATTCGCTCTTGACAAGCTTGCGATCTCTGCCAACATCACCAAGACCTTCAATGTTGAGCATCTCATGCCCCCGGTACCAGGAAACTGCACACAGGCATCTTATCTTGGGCTACCATTGGGATTCTCATCATGTCCTGTACAGGTTCATGCCGAGAACGCGCCACCAAACCACGCCATTGTGTCGTTCCAGAATGGACTACGTGAGCCCCGTGTTACCTCTGCGAAAATCCACAGAGATGACGACCGCGAGCTGAATGTCACTTGCACTAAGCTCATGCCCGGTGTCTACCATATTGCCCTTGATCCTAATGAGGCCTATGGGAATGTCAATTTCAACATCATTACCACGCGGCCGCCGCTCAACATCAGTTGGTCAAGCAATTTCGGCAATCGCCTGCTCCAACGCAAGACGTACGAGAGAGCAAGCACGGACCTTAGCAAGATCGTGAGCAAGGACGTCGCCGTGATGAGGCACGCAGCAAAGGGCATCACAGAAAAGGTCACCACCGAAATCGGTGCCGGTCTTTGGGCCACTAAGAACGTCACATCACAGCTTGCCATGAACGTGGGGCGCGACGTTCAGCTGGCTGCAAGCACCGCTATCTCTGWGTTTTCGAATGKAGCCAAGGTTGGCAACAAGACTGCATCCAGCTTGGGCAAAGACCTTGTCCTCATGCAAAAGGGAGTCACCAACTTTGGCGAACATTGTTCCAAGTCTTTCAAGTCGAGAATGGCGCTTATTAAGGCAAACTCGAAGGCGTTGATCCGGGCACCACTGAACATATCCAAGCAGAAATTGGCACTGTCCCGACAGCGGCTGCAAGACCTCAAGAAGGTACTACAGCCGTCGTCCGCAAAGAAGGCTGCCGTCCCGCAGAAGAAGTCTCTACTTGACAGACTTGAGAATTCCCTCGCTGCGACTCCTGAGCACGAGCTGCTGAAGAAGCATGCTCGACAAGCCAAGGCGGCTGCCACGGATTGGGCTCGGAATGTGAACGATTTCAAGGAGCGTACAAAGAAGCAGAAGAAGTCTTCTGGTATTGTGGGCAAGGTATGATAGATCTGCGATAAATTGTGCGAGCAGAAGCGCACATTCAGGATCCACGCTTGCTGACGTGTAGCAGCGAGTCTAGATATTGATGGATTTGGGACAACGGCGTTGTGGGATAGGCATCACCAACTAGATACCACGGGGAGATGATTCACGAGTTCATGGCGATATTGGGATTGGAGCAGATTACATACGCTATTCTGCATTGAATTGATCTGAAGAATTGAGATGATTGTCGCCTCATGTCTCTCGAAGATCGCCATTTACGAACTCGCTCTTGTCCCTTGCCCGTCAATCGGTCTATCCCAGATCGAATATCTCCAGAGGATGATATCTGTGTTGAGTACGTTGTGTCTGTCAAGTCTCCGGCTGGCATGGCTTCGCAACCAATTTGAACACTTGTAGCAGACGTAGGATTCGACACACTACCAGTCATCCCTGGCGAGCACGCTTGAGCACAGAAAAGTGGTGAAGTGAAGTGAGCTTCTTGGCGCAACATCATCGCCCAAGTAGAGAAGATCCTCTAGCTACAATACTCGAAAGCCCTTGTTCAACCAGAGATATTCTCGTACGCCTGAACGCCGCGCTCGCCCATCCTCGCCTTTCTGGCTCCCGCACAAAGCAGAGCTCACCTTAGACAAACTCCCGTTCTGGAATACACGCTTCGTCCCATCGTATCTCCATCTCGCTAAGACAGCAGTCAGAGACATGATGACCCTCAAGACCTAGCACCTGTCGATTGAACCCTGAGACATTACTTCCGGCCGGCACTGTGGGCTGATACTGCGCCACAGCCTTTACTGGCGCTGCTCGGCGTCCCTCGCAGCGTTGCGCTCGCGTCGTCTTTCCGCCGCGTTGCCGTACTAGGCAATCGCACTCATGTCGACGCGCTTCTCGGCGTAGTCCCACAGCATCTTGATCMGGGCATCCGGCAGGGTGTAAAGATCGACATGAAACTCGCCGTCTGTAGGTCGTATGTCAGTTTGCTCGTGGATCTGTAGCGGCATTAGCCTGGTGCTTGGCGGAAGTACTCACTTTCCACGTCATTCTTAGTGTACGTTTCTTCGGATTTGTTGTCGTGTACCATTTGAACCACCTGGAGAAGGTCATCTTCGGCGAGCTGTGGGAGTGCTTCGGCGAGCTTTTCCATGTCGACGTTGCGAGTGGCCTTCTGGCGCTTCTTCTCGGGCTTTGCTGTTGCGACTCCATTGGTCTCGCCTGCTGGGCCGGACTCCTTCAGTCGCTCGAGGAGTTCGCCTTTGGGGTTGCGGAATGTCTGAGTCGACTGTTAGCGGGTTCTCGGAGGAAGTGGAGACTGTACTAACGACTGTGTGGGTGCTCTCATATCTCTCTTGCTGGAAATTGAGATCGTGCTGCAGCGGCGTGTCGCCTCCCTTGGGTGCGCCCACCGGCGTCAGGGTAATGGTCATGTCGAATTCTCCCCATCCCTTCTCTCTAATCGTGAACGGAGGCTGCTTGACGACTGTTGGCCACGTCAGTCCACCATCACTTGTATCCTATCCCGTGCATTCACGAGCTCTTTCCTGCATAACGTACCCTGCTTCGCTCTCTTGCCGAAACTCTCGTGGAGTAGATATGTTGCCTTCTCGAAACACGTCGCTTGTAGTTCCTCGCCATCCGGGCCGACCAAGTAGATGCTGATATTCCACCCGCGCATAGGAAAGCCTTCCACCTCTGGTGGGTCGGGGCTACAAGCAAAAGTCAATTACGCGCATTGGCAAGGTATCTTGGACGACATACATGATGCTCTGCTCGGTAACGAGCTTGACGGTTCGCTTGATCTGGAGATCCGCGCCTGTTAGAGCCCGCTTCGGTGCCATGTTGCAGCTATGGTGTTGGTTGGTTGTGGTGGTGATTGTTGTTGGTGGAGATCGGATTGAGAGGAAGATGTAGTTGAAACAGACAGCTGAGTAGATGTCGCAGTGGTAGTGAAGATGTCGCAAGAGTAACTCACATCAGGCATCTTGTGGGGTTTATGCGCCGGCGCGTGCGGACAATCAAATAAAAGCGGTCCTTTGTCAAAGTGAAGCTGCGAGTGAAGTAGCAATTGATCAGAAGCAACGAAATCTGGCACGCTCTCCGAACAATGGCGGATTCTCGTGAGTGGGGAGGTTGTTGTATTCGCACAGCCTGCGGGGAGAGATGTGAAGCTGGAAGTGAAGTCAGTGGCCGGCGATCCGCGTCCCGCTTCCCGTTGCACTTTCTCATTCTCACGGCATGCACGACCGACCATTGCTTGTCTACAAATTTACATTGGCACTGCATGATTTGACACCTGACTGTACACCGTCACAGCATTGTGCAGCGCATCGGAGCCAACTGTGAAAACTGTGCTTGATAACATGTTACGTATGCAACCCATTCAAGACGGACTGGTGATTTGTATTGACAGACACAGGTCTCAATTGCTTTTCTTGATGCTATCTAATTTCGCCAACTGTGCAGCGCGCTCTGCCATGGCCATGGCGATGAAGGTATTGTGCAATGGATGTGGTGATGTTGTGGTGGAGCGGGACGGAACGCTTCAAAAATGCTGCTCTGGTGCTGTAACGTCCGTTGGTGTGGAAGTGGATGGTACCCACCATATGCGTGAGCCTATGCCTTCGTCGATTTTCTGCCGAAGCTGTTCGGACAGGGCACGGACCCCAGCTATAGTTGGTGTTTCATATTCCCGGGATGGGAGTTGTCTGGTCTGAGCGGTGATTGAATTCTATTCAGTCTTGCTGAAGAGAGCCTCGTTCTCCTGCTGAGCCTTGACGAAGGCATCCTTGAAGAGATTGGCGTCTACAATTTGTCAGTAAGCCTTGTTGTAAGAAAAGAATCTGAAGTCCAATCGCAACCAGTACATCCTTCTCGGGAGACGGCAGATGGGCAAGATATGAACATGACGTGGACTTACTCTCAGCGTTGGCGAAGCGAATGGCAAGGGTGGATGCCTCTGGCTCGCCCTCGGACACATCAGCGGCCGCGTTCCACACCCAGCTGCGATCGCTGCCGACGTTGGGGGAGAGCTTCATGTCCGGAACCACTGCACTCGTGTCAGTATCTTCAGCAATCTGCCGGAGAGGCGCGCGACATACCGTAGTGGTTGGCGCAGACCTTCAGCGTCTTGTCTCGCCTCATGACCAGTCTCGTCTTGCCATTCTCCTTGTGCTTCAACAGTCTAACCTCGCCGGTACCACGCTCCTTCCATTCTCTGCTCTCGCGGTCAAACTTGAACAGCTTCGCGCGCATCTTGAAAGTCTGCTCCTCGGCCTCCTCATTGGTCTTGGTGTCGACCTTTTCGGWCAGGTGAACGACTGGCTCAAAGTGGGCGTCGGTCTCCTCCTCGTCCGCCGCATCGTCATCGTCTTTCTCAGCGTTCTCCTTCTCCTTCTGCGCCTTAGCGCTGCCAGAGCGATCGTTCTCCTCATCGGGATCCTCCTTCTTGGTCTCCTTCTTAGGGCCGCCGCCAAACATGCCGAACACGTTGCCTGCTACTGCCGAGGCGGCATCCGATGCCTTCTCGGTGACAGTCTTGTTCTCCTCGGGCTTGCTCTCGGTGGTGACATCCACCTTCTTGTCCTCTTCGGCCATGATTGCTGTAGTTGGGACTCGGATGTTTCGTGCAGTGATTTGTGGTGTGCGGTTTTGGGCGAAGGGTTGCAAGCGTGCAAAAGATCTCGGATGTTGATGTTTTGGAACAAACGCCCAGTGGTGGGGCACTGGAAAGGACGACCTCCTGTCAAAGGGTCCGTGCCCGCTCGCAAAACATCCCACCAATTTTCCACTTCAACGGTCAAAAACATCCATTTGACAGAGCCGGAAGCCACGAGCGTCGTCTCGCGCGGGTAGAGTCTGCCCTGGCTTCATCTCGACAACTACCATGGCTACACCACATCAATTCTGGCTAACTTGTCGATGCCAAAGATCCCCTGCAATTGACATTGRGACAAGAAGTCTATGTTGAGCCTACAGATGCCGATCCTGGCGCTCATCCACAGCRCGGCGAGCTCTGTGGTCTCACAATACGAAGAAATTCGTGATTGAGCTGGAGAACAGGCTAAGAATGCACTTTCCCAGGATAGGCTACATCATGCATAGCGCGACTGACGAGTAGGGTAAATCGGTGTTGCAAAAGGCAAGGGAGACTACCTTACTTTGGGGTTGTCAACTTGAATGGACCTGGCAATAGAGCTGTCGTTGTAAGAATCGTTCTGCAAGGTCTTCCTGCCATCTTGTCGAGTTCTTACTCGTTTGACAAAGCGACTCTGCCAACAAGAACTAGTTCAGCGGTCCGGTGAAAAGACATCCTATGAAGTCTGCAGGACTCTTTCATGTCGCTATACTCTTGCTCTCAAGCTGATGCCTCTGTACATCTTGATTTCAATCATGATCATGCAAATAATGCCGCCGCCGAAGCTACATCCAGTCATAAACCATAAACCATATGCCTCATCTCTCTTCATTCATAACGCGCCGTATCCCTCTCCATGCTGCCCACTTCTACCCATCAATGATTCTTGTTCATCGCTCTTTCCCTCACTTACACTGGATGGAACCCAGCCTCTCATCCAACCACTGACTCTGCGCCAACGACTTCTCCGATCATTGCCTTCGTCCTCCACGACCACCAATTTCTCGGTCGTGTTGCTGTACAGCAAGAACTGAACTCCAACACTCGCATCCAATCCCAATACCCCAAAAGCTCCCAGAAAGAACGGCAACGCCGCAAGAACCCACTCTTCCCTGCTACTCCCATCCTTCCCAGCCCAACCACCTCCGCCATAAGCCCCAAAATCTTCCCATGCACAAGGGTTTGTAAATAGAGCGCTCGAATAGAAGAGGTTGCCACAAAATGCAGCGATGAAGAGATGAGGACTTAAGCCAGCCGTTGWCTTACGGCGCCAGTTCTTCAAGAGTTGCGGCAAGCGAGATCCCAAATAAAGCACCGTTGATGTCCACGAAAGAAAGGTGCCGGCGATCTCAAGACGTGTGGGTCCTCCAGTTGTGGCGTCTGAAAGAGCGCCGGGAATGGGTTTCGCTTGTGCCATAGCTACCAGGCACGCAATGAACAAGATAGTTCGTGGTGAGGGAGAAGGCATCGGAGAAGACGACCCTCCCAGACGAATTATCGGCGAGCCCGAGGAGCTCGACAAGGCCTTCTCGTTCTTCTCCTCGCGTTGCTGCTGGAACGTTGGTGCTCGAAAGATTACCTTCGGCCGCGTCTGGGATTTTGTACCGTTGTCGCCTTTGACGCCATCAGATGAATTGTCCTCTTCGCTTTGGTAGATCGGCATACCTTCAATCACAACTCGCTCCATATCTTGGCCATCACCACCACCAGAACCTCCCTGCAGTGAGTCTCCTGTCCTTCGTATCCGGAAAACGGGGTGTCCATGCTTCAATCTCTCGTACCAAATCCATTGCAACACCAAGCATACATCAACAAAGACGTAATAGCATCCGATCGCTACCTGCCACGGTGCTTGGTGTGTGAAAAGTGCCCCCAGGAGGTTAGAAAAGTCTCCAAAACACCACTCGACCAGAAAGAAAATTGACAGCCCGGATGTGCTCTGAATGGACCAATTCTTCCATATTTGTGGTAGTTGGGCAAAGAGCCAGGAGATTATACTCAGAGCGCCGAGTAGATTGGATGTGAATGCTAGAGGGGTCGGTATGCAGACGTGAAACGCGCTGCTGAATCGGAGGAGGAATTCGTTGGCTGGTACACAGTGATCAGGTAAAGCAGCCTGGAATACTGAGGTTGATAGCCACTCCATGGTGGACGTTATGGTATTTGCGGAATTGCAGGCACATGCGTGGAGGGACAAGGGGAGTTATGTATCTGAGGTGGTCGCCTGATGTTTGATCACCGGTACGGGGAAAGCCAAGTGTTGAGGCGGGATCTCGTGCCCACAGCCCCCGAATGTCGCGTGTACTGTGGAAGTAGATGGGCAGATAAGTAGGTGTCTTGGCTGGGACTCGGCTTGTATAGCAGCAAACTTGGAGAGACGGAAGAGAATGAATGAGGATGCGTTGGGGAGGTCGGCAACACTATCGAACAATCACGACGGATGTGGGAAATGAAAGGGAATGGAGCATCCAGCGAAGTGTAGATACTACATCGGCCTTTGTTCAGTGTGCACATGCCCGATCAGTCATAGGACGCTTGAGCTGTTCCTCCGAAGAGTCTCGCCGGGCGAAGATAGGCATCTGCCACGGCTGTGACACAGATGTATACCCCAGATCGAAGTAGATCGCACTAGGTGACAGCGGGTAGCGCACGATGAGTGGACGCAGATTGCTAGATACGCTCGACTGGGCGATGCTGGGATGCGGAGCTGAGCGGTCGAGTGGGACCTGCTGTGCTGATAAGAGCTGCCAGCTGGTCAAGTGGGGCCGGGTCGCTGTCCGCGGGATGGACACGTGCACTCGGATGTCTCTCTTGACCGACTTTGATGAGGTGCAGATGTGACGTCGAGCAGGGCTGTTGGAGGTCATCTTGCCGCTTGCCTGGCCGTCTTCAATTCCGTTGGCAATWGAGAAGATGGACATGTCGATGTCCAGGCCACTTCATCTGCAACATCTTGTGAAGGGATGGTCAGCTGACGAAGCATTGAGTCAGCAGTTGAGGTTCGATCTGTCTTGCTCATGATGCGCCTTCGCATGACCATTTCAACGATGCAAGGTAGACATCGTCTGTGCGCACGAAGCGCGATACGCGACCCCTCGCTCGAACAATCCGCCCACGAAGATGAAGAACACCCTCCTCCTGGTGTTTGTTCACGGCTTCAAGGGCAACGACCGCACCTTCCACTCGTTCCCGCAAGATCTCCGTGCGCTCATCGCCCATACCCTGCCCAAGATCAACGTCGTGAGCGTCCAATACCCACAGTATGAGACAAAGGGAGACCTCCGAGCTTGCGTKTCCAAGTTCAAGGAATGGTGGGTAGGATGGAGCATGGCATATCATTCGCATGCTAAGGGAGACTCGGTGTAGGCTGCAGAACAAAGTAATCGACCTCGAGGTCGCAAATCGCACCCCGTCGCCTACTGTCGATCCCTCGGTACATGTGATTCTATGCGGACATTCAATGGGAGGCATCGTTGCGGCAGAGGCTCTGCTGAGCATTGCGGGCGATGCCCCGGTGCCTCCATACTGTGACACCGACGGCGACTCGAATTCCACGGCTGCACACGATGCCAAAGACGGGACTTCACCTCCACCCATCGATGTGTCCAAGCTGTTCTTTCCGTACATTGAAGCGATTCTGGCGTTTGAGTAAGTGATGATACGTTGTTCATTCCTCTAGCGTGCCACAGATCCTATTTCTTCGTCTCTTCTTTTGTCTTCTAATCACGCAAGGCTATGTTGAACAGAGGCTGACGCTCGCAGCACTCCGTTTCTTGGCCTCAATCCTGGTATCATAGCACATGGGGCAGAAGAAAACGGGACTTCGGCATACAATGCTTTCAACGCGGCGAGTTCTGTATTCGGATGGGGTTCGCCCACGGCTGAGACGCCGTCGCCGAGTCCCGATGCTTCAAGCAAGGGCTTGCCGTCGCCAAGTGACGATCCCGCCAGTCCTACCATGCCAACAAGATGGTTGAGAAGGTATGCAATGTATGGCGGAGCTGCTGCTGCTCTCGCTGGTGTTGCAGGCGCGACTTACTACAATTGGAATCACATCAACAATGGGCTGTCTTGGGCAGGGAGCCATTTGGAATTCGTCGGCTGTCTCGCACGCGGTGCCGAATTGCAGAAGCGTGTTGAAAAGGTCGTGCAGCTGGAAGAATCCCATGACGTAGGATTCACAATCTTCTATGGTGCTCTTGGCGAGAAGACTGTGGGCAAAACAAAATACGCCGAAACCTTTGTCGATGCCGATCGTACATTCTGTGTGGTGCCCAGCAGGAAGCAATTGGCTAGTAGAGCTGGCACAAAGCGAACCAGGCCATCAACGGACGAGGCCACCGTGGGAGAGGAAATGGAGCAAGGGGAGCAGGTTCAGGATTTCGTGCAGGATGTTGAGAAGAGAAAGGGACGTTGGGTCAAGTGTGTCAATCAGGCTGCAACGGATGAGATCACTGCCCATACCACCATCTTTGCGGCTGATAAGAATCCTGACTACCACAGCATGGTGCCACGGGCAAGGGACCAGATAGTGGAGTGGATTGGGGTTGAGTCGGACTGGTATCTGAGGTCGGATGGTGGGCAACAGGATGATGGCTCACCGGGTGTGGCTGCGGGCGCGGAAGAGTCTGTAGAGGAGCATCCTGAGGAAGTTCAAGATGAGGGTGAGGATGAGGATAAGGCTATGTATGATGAGGATGATAAAGGGCGAGAAGATGAGATGATGGATGGTGAAGAAGAAGATGCGCGGAAAGAGAGTCCGAAGCCGCCTGTTGGTGCTTGATCTGTCCGAGAGGCATCGCCGTCTTGTTGGCGATTTCTCTCAACACGTCGACCATTATTAAGACTCCTTTCACTTTCGCGGCAATGTGCCTCAACAGGCCCCCCACCCCTAGATCGACAGCGAATAGACCACAGATTATGACTTCAACCACGACTGTCGGAGCGACCAAGTATCATCCGGTCGATTGCGAGCTTTCGCATGGCGAGACAATAACGTGCCATCGCTAGGGTTAGGGTTGGGGTAGCGTGTGATATCTTTCTAGACAACGTGAGGGCGTATGTGAGTCTTTTGGAAGTTGGCATACATGTAGTCGATGTATGCTCTGCTGACTGTGGATTGTGATCAGTGACGGAGCCATGTCGTTCAAGTTTGGAGTCTTCCATCAGGTCGGTCATATTTACTGCAGGTCTTTGTTTCATACCCCATCAGTTTTCWACCTCGCGCTCTATACCTAGCAGATGGCGTTGTCATCATCTCTACGCGCGTTCAACGTCAACAGCTTTCACTGGTCTTCGTATACCTGGATGGGTTTATCGATATTTGCATGTGATCATCCACTAGCAAAAGTCGCGTCAACAACCACGTGTCTACCCTCCGCAGCTACCACAACTGGAAGCATTACCCTATGTCTAGCGGGATACAGCAACAAAAGACAACATCGCGTGTGGACGAGACGACGAGCTGACTTGAACTCCACCACATTACTGTCTCACTCATCTGAATCATCCCGTTCACGACTGCACCTACTTTCTGGAACTTTGGAGGAGCACGCTCCCTCGAACATGGCAGAATCATCTGAAGACGAGGACATCAAAGCTGCCATAGCATTATCACTGACCTCTGGAAATGAGAACGTCACCAAAGTAGAGCCGGCGAAGAACAATATTCGAGACACTCTGAAGTCGCTTGGTGAGGCGCGACTGGCGCGGGCTGCAGCCACTCGTAAGCGCGAGCGTTCGATTTCGCCTCCACGGAGCTCTAGAAAGGCCCCGAAACTGGAGACGATCATACCKGAGACGAGCAGCACATCTACACCGCTTCAGTACCCCAAAGGCGTCGTGAAGAAGACGTGGGCTTTCGGTCATGTGCGCAACGGAAACGAGGTCAAACTGGAAGAGGTTCTTGAGGCTCAAACACTCCGGACTGCAGTTTTGTCTGCATATCAATGGGACGTAGAATGGGTCCTTGCAAAGTTGAAGACCCCTCTCCGAGGCGGGATTACCAAGTGTGTCTTTGTGATGCAGGCAAAGGAGCAAGCCGACCGAGAGCAATGGAGACAGGAATCAGAATATATGAGCAAGTTTCTCAGGCTCTGCTTCCCTGCAATGTATAAATTGACATAACTCACTCTTTTCCGCCGCATTGCTAACCTATTATGCAGGGTGCGTTTGATGAAAGGAATAGCCACGTGCGTTTGACATATTTACTGATTACTCTATGCAGCACAACCCCATCAACTGCATGCATTCGAAGCTCATGCTCCTATTCCACCCCAACAAGTTGCGAATCGCCATACCAACAGCCAACCTCCTCAACTTCGATTGGGGCGAGACGGGGCAAATGGAGAACAGTGTCTTTATGATAGACCTTCCCAGGCTTGCAGAAGTCGGTAAATCCGAGGATCTGACATTTTTCGGGAAAGAGCTCATGTTCTTCCTCGAARAGCAAGGCCTCGATCAGGACATCAGATCAGGTGTGCTCAACTTTGATTTCGCAGCTACAGCGGACATGGCCTTCATACATACCGCGGGTGGAATTCACTACCGCGAAGAAGCAGAACGAACTGGTCTACTTGGACTAAGTCGTGCCGTCGCCGAACTGGACCTGTGTGCAACTGACTTAGAGCTAGATTTTGCTGCATCGTCAATGGGTGCGTTGAACGACAAATACCTGCGCGATCTTCATACTGCTGCAAGAGGAGATCTGAAAAACTTGGCTGCGGAAGCGGCAGCCGCAAAGKCGAAGGCCACAAAGGACTTCTTCAAACCAAAGACGGCTACGCAGACTAAAAGTCTACGTGAGACCATCAGAATCTACTTTCCCACCAAAGAAACCGTAAGGGCATCAACTGCAGGTTCCGCTGGCACCCTTTGCCTACAACGAAAGTACTTCGAGGCTGGAACCTTCCCACGCAGTTGTTTTCGGGACTACAAGTCAACGAGATCAGGCCTTCTCAGCCACAACAAGATACTGTGTGCACGTGGAAAGAGAATCTCGTCCAATGGAGAAATTGAAGACGTGGCATGGGTGTACGTTGGCTCGTCCAACGCTTCGAAGAGCGCTTGGGGCGAGCTGCCAGCTGATAGATCGGTGAAGAGGATCACCTGCAGGAATTGGGAGTGTGGCGTGCTCATTCCAGTGCCGAAAGACAAGTTGAGACACCCAAAAGTCGTGAGCGAGGTGAAGATACCGACACCAGCAGGTGAGGATTCCGAAACAGAAAGCGAGGCGGAAGAAGACGAGTCGAACCAAGAGCTGGTTGGCATGAACGTCTTCGAAGGAATCATCGACCTGCCATTCAAGATGCCCGGCTCCTTGTACGAAGGACGCGAGCCATACTATTTCACAGAGGAGTGAGCTTGCAGGCTGAGCCTAAGAGAGCGAGCATGTGAGCAGGGCCGGGTCAACGTGGATTAGGAAAGTAGCAGCCAGGATGAGCCGAACAACACAACAACAACACAGCTCTTACAGCGGTATATCAGACCTTGATGACCATTACAGGTGTGATCGTATGAAATCTGTTTTCCACATTCAAAGTTGAGAAGGGTACTGCTAAAGACCGTCCATGGATATCTCGTCTGTCTCTGTGACACGCCCATCCCTCGAAGCCAAACGCCCGCCAAAGCTCAGGATATAAAGAACAGCTCATCTACAAATCAAAGCTACCAGCAATACCAGGAGCGGGTCCCTCAAGATCCACTCTCTGTACTCTGCTGCGAATGTCATTGCTCTCCCTTACGAGGTTACCGAAGTACTTTCTCGCAACTTCGCTCTCCACCTGTACCTTGACGGTTTCTTTTCTCTGTTCTTGAATTTGCTCAACGCTACGCTGCAAGCCTTCGCGAAGCTTATCAGCAGGATACTTTAGCGCACGCCGAACCTCTGAGCTGACGCGGAGAGAGTTGGAATGTGTGTAGTCGAGAGCAGCGAGCTGTGCAGACAGCTTTGTGCTCAGTCGTCGAGGAAGCGAATGCGGGATTTGAGATACCGCGTAGGAGATTCCGAGAGAGACTAGTGAGGAGTTAGCAAAATGGCTCTGGTCATCGCCCAGGGTGTACTTACCAGCCAAGGCAAGACCGGGCAGGATGAGTCTTCGAAGGTTGTCGGACCCCACGAGCTTCGTCGCTGTCAGTGCCCCATCGACCCAGCCAAATCCGCCTAGCATTCTACCACCAACCACACCGGCGACTGTAACGGCCATGCTTGTACCGGCCAGCTTCTCCTGACGCTCCCAGATGTTTGCTACATCGAAAAAATCCCAAATCTCCGGCTCGAAATCTACTTGACGTGCAAGAGCGTCGCGACGACTTCTGAACATCTTCTCTGACCTGAAGGTCAGGTCAACGTACTGATCTCCGAGGTGCATCATTCCAAGCGACTTGATAGCACCGACGCCAGAAACGGTCTTCTCACGCGCACGTTCTTCACACCATCGGACCGTCTCCGTGATCTGTTCGAGCATGGCCAACTTCAGGTCATCGGCATAATTGTAGGCGCCCAGAAAACCGGGATACTCAACGCCAAGGTCGCTTTCTGCAACGCGAGAGATAACATCCCTAAGAGTGCCCCGCGTCAACTCATAGACTTCGTTAGACGTTTCGTCGATGCTGTTTGCGACAGTGTCATCCGCCTCTGCACGTGCCTTCTTGGATTGCTCAAACACGGGCTCCAACTTGCGGAGCTCCTCACTCACACGATCCAACTCATTTTGCGCCACGTCCTTGTTGACCGTAGCAAGGGTCCCAAGATCACCGAGGACGTTCATCAGGTAGGTCTTGGCGGGTGCCAATTTTGAGCGTGCACGTTTCTCGAGAACGAAGCGCCTGAGAGATGCTTCTAGTTCGCCAAAGTCGTCGATGGCCTCCTTCTCCTTCTCCTTGCCTTTGCCCTTCTTGTCAGGCGAAGCTCCAGGTTCGCCGTGCTTGCCTGTCGGACCGTCATCATCGTGATCGGGTGAAGATTTATCATCGCCACCGGCAAAAGAGGCGCCGCCAGCGCCGCCACCACCCGAGCCGCCATCTGGACCGCCTGGAGGACCGTGTGAGACCGGAATGGCATTACTGGAGACGAAGTGAACAAGCTCGGCAGATTCCTTGAATGTGGCCGGGCTCAAATGCGCAATCTGCTGAAGGATCCGTTCTTGACAGCGATTCTTGTCGCGAATATTGTCGAAGCCGTTGACGACCATGAACATGTACGCCTTCTCTTGCGCAGCATTGAAAATAAACTCTTTTGCGGACAAAGTGAAGTGATTGGACGCGGATACAACGAATACGACGACATCGATTTCTTCTTGTCTGGCAAAAATGGCCGTCGTCTTGAGCGAATCGTTGTTGAGTCCAGGCGCATCAATCAGAGCGATGTCGACCACGCCATTGTTTAGGAGCGATTGATCAACAGCTCGAATGTCTTTGATGTAAATCTTGCACGCCCAGTAACGATCGCTGTCAACCACAATATCCTCGAGCTGTTTCAGGGCGTATACGTGGTACGTGCTCTCGWCATTGCGGTTGTAGGCGACATCGTGGGGAATGGCATGGACTTCCTCTACACCAGCATTCTCCCGAACGTCGAGAACTTCGCAGAAGATGCTAGTGCAAGGTTGCTGGTCTTCTGGCAAGACCTTCCTCCGGAGTAGGGCATTGCAGAAAGTTGATTTGCCCGCGTTGAGGTCGCCCGTTACCAGTACCTTGCTGGATGTATCCTCGATACGCTCTCGAAGGGCAAAAAGGTGGCGCACGCTGTTATTGATCTGATTGTCTAGTAAGGCTGCCACTGACTGTTTCTCGAGAGAGTGCACAATCTCAGACTGGGGCAATCCTTCCATCTTCAACTCAATCTTCAACACAGAGAAGTCCTGCGCCAGTTGGGGTGTGACCAGTCTTGGTTCCGCAGCAGGCGCCTTTGCTGCTGCTGATTCACTGGACTCAGCGGTTTGTCCCGTCTCGCCAAGAGACGTCCCTGCGCGACGCGGCGGTCTCGGTCGGGCTGATGGCACCCCAGAGGTTTCCATGTCTAGAGTGGACTGCGTATGAATCATTCCAGGGCGCACGTCAGGTCTTGGTGAAGGCAACGCCGGTGGGCGCTGTACTGTGGGATAGTGTGCCGGCCATTGCGCGTTCATCTCCTGCAGCTTCTTCAACGTCTCCACCGTCTGATTGATGGCGCGACCCAGCGCCGTACGGTTTTGGTTGTAAAAGAGCTGGTGAACGTGGCTCGCCAGTGCGCGCTTCTCGTGCTCGGACGCGGGATTGGTCTCTCCAGGTCCAACTGGAGTGTGTTCCGGTGTGAAGCGGTCTGCCGTAGGGCCTGGGTGCCACGCATTTTCCATGTTTTCTTCGCCAGCTAGACTTCCACCGTATCCGGAGTCCTCGTCCAGCAGAGCCTGCAGTCGTGATGCGCTCTCCGAGGTCGAGCCTGAGCCAACAGTCATGTATTGTGGACCGCGCCGAGAGGCGGGCGAGCTGCGACCAGCGCCAGATCCATGGCTAAAAGGGTTGCTCGAGCTCATTATTGCGCTGTGTCGTTCGTTGTCATGATGTAGGTTTGCGAGTAGACGTGAAGGATGTTTTTCGCAAATGGAGAGGTTGTGGCAAGCATCAAACCAAGATGCCATCGAATCAAGATGCCATCATTCCCACATGGCTCGGGACTTGCCGAGGCGGTTCATACACGGAAGGTACGCCGAGACCGCCGATCCGATCACCTGCGAAGGCATCAACACGGAACACTCTTTGATCTTCAAGTTGCTCAACATCCAATCTTGAACAAACGAAAAGCACGGGATCCACTGGTGCTCTAAGATTCAGAACCATACCGCTCCGCTCTCTGTACAACTGGCACCACATAACGCTACAGCGTAAACTATCAGCCATGAATGTATGCGGTTGCCTGAGAGAGGCACTGAGAAAGAAGCTGTTGTTGTTCATCCAGCTGACAACTTCTGAAGATCATCGAGTGGGCATTTGGAAAGCGTATGACCCCGGCAGAGCGCCTGCGTAAACATCAAAGAGCACTTGAGAAGACACAACGGGAGCTGGATCGTGAACGGACGAAGCTTGAGAACCAAGAGAAGAAGTTGGTGTCAGAGATCAAGAAGAATGCGAAGAACGGGCAGATGGGTGCTGTGAAGGTACAGGCCAAAGATCTGGTGCGGACGAGGAGATATATTCAGAAGTTCTACCAAATGCGCACGCAGCTGCAAGCAATCTCGCTACGGATACAGGTATGATTGACGATCATTCGCTCTCAAGTACGACGCTGACTAGATTTGAAAGACGGTACGGAGTAACGAGCAAATGATGCAAAGTATGAAGGGCGCAACACAGCTGCTGGGAAGCATGAATCGAYAAATGAATCTCCCAGCATTGCAACGTATAGCGATGGAGTTTGAGAAGGAGAACGATATCATGGATCAGCGACAGGAGATGATGGACGATGCCATCGACGATGTAACTGGACTCGAAGACGAAGAGGAGAGCGAGGAGGTGGTCACTCAGGTCCTAGATGAGATAGGCATCGACCTTGGTCAATMGGTATGTTTCTATGTATTGTTGTGGCGTTCTCGACCTGCACTAACTCGTCCCAGCTTGGAGAGACCCCACAAGGTCTCCAAAAGAATGCGGTCGCGGAGGGCAAGGTCGCCCAGGCTATTGGGGGCGATCCAGGCGACGATGACCTGCAGGCACGGCTGGACAGCTTACGAAGATGATGATTATGAAGTTCTACCTCCTCGAGTAGCGGATACAACGGCCTGCAACAAAGGAACAGCATTGCACTTCTCTCAGTTCAGGGGTAATATCTTTGGCGGCTTGAACCAGAGACCATCACAGCTATGCGCCGGGGATATGATAAGAGGGGTCAAGTGCCATCAATTCGCTCCAGAAGCATCTCCAGTGTGTGAGGACATACGCTTTGCCGGTCCCGGTAAATGTTGCCTCCAGCCCGAGCTGTCTCTTGACCTTTCCTTCCTCACATTGCCTCAAGCACGACATGTACAGTCTTGCTCTTTGGGACTCGGGAGAGTTTGCCATGTGAAATGCTCGTGAACGCTTCCAAAGTGAATGAGTTGTTAAGCGGTACATTGTAGAGTAATCCCGAAACTGCCTGCTGACCGAGGATGCGTGGACCCCGTACGCGCTTGTGCCTTAGCAGGAGAGACGGTACACAGTGGCAATGCTGTCTCTCAGAAATTATGAAATGCCGGAGGGCCGTTGACCCCGCGCCGCCATGAAGCATCCGGAATGCATCATACCTTACCTTACCTGATACTTCCAGACATACTTTACTTCGATACATGTACTCCCAAAGACAAAGACTCCTACAGCGGATCCCTTCACGTCGTCCGTAAACGGCCTTCCACGACCCTCAATCGCACCTGTTTATTTGCGACAACGACTCGACTTCATCCCCCGCACTCTCCGATCACCCCCTCCCCCCCCGCCGAGTCGACTGCGACCGGACAAGACCGATCGAGGATCTGATCTACATGAGCGGCGTTTCGACCAAGCAAAGCTCAAATCTGGCCGGAGGCAAGAGACGCAGTCTCTCCGGTCAGGGAGGCTTGCTAGGTAGGATGTTTGGTAACAGTAGCAAGGAAGCGATCGACACCACCTCGGTTGGAAACGACGGTGTCGGAACCGAATCTACACAAAGCCCGACCAACATCGACGCCATTCCCGAGAACAGTGAGAGCAGGGACGAGGTCAGCAATACGATGCGCAGCCCTACAACCAAGTCGCCCGAGGAGGGTGCGCCGGGCGAAAAGAAGAGGCGCAGCAGCGGCGTCGGTCGTGCAACCCGTGATCTCTTCTCCAGCGCAAAGCAGTCCTTCTCCAATCTGAGCAGTTCTCCAGAGAGCAAGGCTTCCACCTCCAACCAGACCCCGATGCAGAAGCTAGGGAGAATGGATCCAGCCCTGAGTGTGCCGCAAGGCTCGCTGAACAATTCGGCCGGCGAGTCTGCACCAGGTCCACGCTCAACCTTCCGGGTGGGCGTTACTGAGGATAAGAACAAGAAGTGTAGACGCACCWTGGAGGACACACACGCCTATCTGTACAACTTCCTAAGCACTCCCGCCCCGTCAGTCGGCACAGACGCCTCGTCTAAGAAACGAAACTCACTTGCACTGACCGAGTCAAAGTCTCGTGACTCTGGCGCTTCCAATGCCAGCTTGAGCACACGCATGAGCAACAAGGAAGTTGCGGAGACGGACAATGGGTACTTTGCCATCTTCGATGGCCACGCCGGTTCCTTTGCCGCGGATTGGTGCGGCAAGAAGGTGCACTTATTACTGGAGGACATCATCCGCAAGTATCCCAATACGCCGATTCCTGAGCTACTTGACATGACTTTCACATCTGTCGACCAGCAACTGGAAAAGCTGCCACTCAAGAACAGCGGATGCACGGCCGTGACCGCTGTACTGCGATGGGAGGACAGAATACCCAACCCCCAATCTGCTACAGGATCGACGGCGATTGCGCCTGCTGCCGCCGCCGCGACGAAGTCGGACGGAAAGTCTGATGCACCGGCCATCTTAGAGGCAGCAAATGCTTCCGACACCGAAAGTAAGCTCAGAGAGACGGCAACCCGCCAACGTGTGCTGTACACCGCAAACGTGGGCGATGCGCGCATTGTGTTGTGCAGGAACGGCAAGGCCCTGCGCTTGTCATACGATCACAAAGGTAGCGATGAGAACGAAGGGAAGCGAATTGCAGGCGCGGGTGGACTCATCCTTAACAACCGTGTCAATGGCGTGCTTGCTGTGACGCGTGCCCTCGGAGATGCATACATGAAGGACTTGGTCACAGGCCATCCATACACGACGGAGACAGTCATACAGCCGGACCTTGACGAGTTCATCATTTTGGCGTGTGACGGGGTGAGTTTGGTTGCTTCCACATAACATTTGTGACCTCTTGCTGACTTGCAATTCCATCGTAGCTCTGGGATGTATGCTCTGACCAGGAGGCAGTGGATCTCATTCGCAATGTTCAGGATCCCCAGTCTGCGTCCAAAGCACTCGTCGACCATGCACTGGCTCGGTTTTCTACGGACAATCTGTCTTGTATGGTGGTTCGCTTCGACAACCAGGCATTGCAGCACAATCAAGACACGAATCTTATCGGCGTGGAAGGCGACCCGTCCACGATTGCGAACGGCATTAGTGAAGCGGAGGCGATTGTGAACAACACCAAGAACAATCTCGATGGAAATGGTGCGCCGCTGTCGCAAGTTACGACCAACGAGATCATGGAAGATGTGTCGCAAAATCAGGAGGCGGGGCCAGAGTTGAACCCAGCAGCATTGGAGGCTGCACGCAAGGACGTCAAGCCTACACCCGAGGAGATGGCTGAAGCAGCAAGCGGCAAATAATGACTTATGAGAGGAGTCTACGATTGGGATGATGAATGACTGCAGGGTGGGCGGTGGGCCGGGGATGGGCGGCATGGTTACCTCTACATACGTGGCACGGTGTTTGATGGCGCATTACTGCCATCGGCCTAYAGGCGCACAGCGCGCATGGCAAGAAAATATGCGATTCCAGTCAATATTGTCCCTCGCACGTTGCATGAAAATGGCAGGATATCCACTGTCATCTTTGCGCAATTCCACTGTCCATTTTCACCTATGACGATAGCTAGCGCCGAATTGACACGAACTGTTCCCATCTGGCATCTGGCATGTGAACGCTCATCATCGCCCTCCGCATTCTCCGCCTTCTCCTCTACCCCACATCAATACCGCACAGCTGCGACACAACAGCGCCCCGCCATCCCGGGATCAATGCCCACCAACGCCTTTAGGACAGCCGGCAAATGGAGGAATACGAGGTGAAGGCGGCCGAGGATCCCAGTAGTCTGGACCGTCGTCCGGCAGACCCCGACCATCCCTCGCCAAATCCGGATCCAAGGCACTTTCATGCTCCAGTTCGTCCCAGCGACTTCCTCCGAACTGGCCGACCAGCACAGAAGCGCGAGTGCCCAATGCCGAAGGCCAAGGTAAAGGAGCTGCCTGAACAGATCGCCGCCAAAGTAAGTTTGCCCACGCCCACGCCCCAAGCCATGCGGCCATGCGATGCTATGCACAGCCACGTGCCTCGATGGACATGCCGCATCGGCGTGGGAGAGACATGTTCGCTGACAGACATTGTGCGTGATTAACAGCGTGCGATTCGCGCATTTCTCAAGGTTCGCACCAGCTACGATGTGCTGCCGCTCAGCTACCGTCTCATTGTGTTCGACACTTCCCTGCTCGTTAAGAAGAGCTTGAACATCCTCACAMAATGCGCCATAGTCTCAGCACCGCTCTGGGACTCGAACCTGTCCAAATTCGCCGGCCTCCTCACAACGTCCGACTACATCAATGTGGTGCAATACTACTGGCAAAATCCAGATGCCTTGAAGCAAGTGGACGAGTTCCGCCTCAACAGTTTGCGTGACATCGAGCGAGCCATCGGCGTGACACCCATTGAGACAGTATCCATCCATCCGCTGGAGCCTCTCTACGAAGCCTGCCGTCGGATGCTGGAGTCTCGCGCCCGCCGCATACCACTCATCGACTTCGATGACGAGACGAAGAGGGAAATGGTTGTGAGCGTAATCACGCAGTACCGGATATTGAAGTTCATATCGGTCAAYGTGAAGGAGACACAGTCACTACACATGCCGCTGAGAGATTTGGATGTCGGAACCTACAAGGACCTCGCCACGGCAAGCATGGAGACGCCAGTCATGGACTGTCTACATATGCTTGTCCAGAAGAGCATCTCGAGCGTTCCAATCCTTGACAAAGACGGCACCGTCCTTAACGTCTTCGAGGCTGTGGATGTCATAGCACTCATCAAGGGAGGTGACTACGACAATTTAAACTTGAGTGTGGGCAAGGCGTTGGAGAAGAGATCAGATGTATGCTGTCATTTTATACCCAGAAATCATCCGCCATAAGCTAATCCGCTGCAGGACTTCCCCGGCATCTACACATGCACCTTGAACGATCGCCTCGATACGATCTTCGACACAATTCGCAAGTCGCGAGTCCACAGGCTCGTGGTGGTAGATGAGGCAGGACAGCTAAAGGGACTGCTGTCCTTGAGCGATATCCTTGAATACACCCTCAACTCTCCGCTTGGAGATGAGGATGACGAATAGAGGGCAGCATGAATGTAATGAGACCTACGACGTCTCCGATTTGATGATGTATCAGGAAACTATGTATTCGATAGATGCAGGCATGTGAATGGCATCGACGGCGCCAGAACAATGATGCTCAGCGTGTCGGTTTACATAGATCAACTGCGAATGATAGCAATCTTGGAAATGGTTGTTTTTCACTTCAGAATTACTGCTTTGAGCTGAGTCGCGTGAAAGTCTGCGTTGACATCATCAACTGCAGGTGAAGGGACGATCGAACTTCATCGAACACATCAACTCCATCTACAACACCACGGCATCGATGGAAAATTGCTTCCCACCAGATCACAGATGACGCCTTTCCGGCTGATGCGCACGCTCTTGCCATCACGCCTGCGCATTGCTAATGCCACACCCACGTCCGCGGTAATCTTCCCCGCCGCCACGCCCACACGCCATTGCGGAAACCCACGAGACTGCCTACGCAATTGCCGCTGCTTTGCTGATGTTCAACACACTCATGCATCGAATAGAAATGTCTGGTTCAGTAGCGCCGCTCCTCGCAGCTCATCGTTCGCGAATCAGCATTCAGATCACAAACCTCCGGATGAGCGAACGCTGCAGTTAGGGAAGACAGTCAGAATCTTGCACGAGCGGTTACCGACACTGTTGAAGGAACCTCTTCCTTCAGAGGTTCTTTCTCCACAGATCACACTTCATCTGTTTCCATCAACACACCCTCATTTGCCGACTGTTTCGGGACGATTGGCATACATCGCAGCGCTATGGACTGCTCCAGTCGCGTGGGGACGAGTACCTCTTATCGGCAATGTCAACCTAGTCATCACATCCGAACGCATGATTAGAAATGGCGGAAGCTCCCAACCCCTTGCGAATCGAGAAGAGAAGCTGGTCGTCAAGTGGAAGACTTGTGGCAAGACATCACATCGAGATGGAACGGGCGGTATTTATCGCGGCATGGGCATCGCAGCAAAAGACCCTATGGATAGGATCCTGGACTTTGTCAATGGTAGCGCGAAGGGAAAGAATGAGAAGTCACCCAAGGCGGAAGAGTTCTGTGGGATCTTCGTGTTCGAGTTTGACGAAAAGGGGAGGGTTGTAAAGCATGTTATAGAGCATGCTGAGGAAGGCGGTGATTGGGATCGAATGACTCGCGTGGTCTCTGTTACGGACTGGCTATTGGGAGTGTTCAATGGCAAGAAGAAGGAAGAGGAAATGTCTCTTGCGTGGTGTGAGGAGAGACCTAGTGCTGGTCCAATTAGATTGATGGATCGGAGGTGAAGAGACCTTATGATATGATTACGAGAGGCTTGATGCGAGACTTGTGGAATTGCGTCTCTCTTCCTCGGAGTACTGAGGCTGGAGTTGAACTGGCGTTTGGTCCAATGTATATACCCTACTCTACTGTTCGATGGTTTGATGCAACGAGGCACTTTCAGTCATCTCTTCGCAAGTTCATCGCGGCATTGTCAGGCCGAATCGGATCGTGCTGCTTCCATGGTGTCAAGCCTGCTCTCTGAGCTATCCTCGTGATACGAAACGAGAAGCACCTTGAAGACTCGTATCTCGTGCTGCACTTTCTTGGCCCTATATCTTTCCACCATCATTCGATTGTCTTACCCAATGCCGTCAGCTGCGGATGTAGTATAGACAATCCGGGCAAGGGAAAAGGTCATCAGATCCTCCTGTATTGGCTCTTCGCCAATCCGCGCCAATTTCGGCACTGCCTGGCGTCCATAAGTCTCTGGTGGCAGAGGCTCATCAGTCCACTCATCAAGCAGTCATTGACGAGTCATAGCTTTTGGTTCGATTTGCTCGTGCCGAAGTTAACGTGTGGCCTCAACCAGGTTGCGAAGAAGCATCATCATCTTCGCCATCCGACCCATCATTCCCCACAGCACCGACAGCTCCAGCAGCTTTCTTAGCCTTCTCACGACTCTTCTTCTTGGCTTTCTTCTCCCGATTGCGTGTGGTACGCTTTTCCCGCTCCGCAGCTTCTCTCAACTCTGCAGCTTTCTGATCTTCGATCTGTGCAGCCTTGATCATGGCAAGTTTCGTCCTGGATTTGATTCGCATTTGTTTTCCAGGTCGCTTCCTCTTGGATGGTTCTTGAACAAGAAGATCTTGATAGACGGAAGATGCTTTTGCGAGAATTAGAGCTTCGGCTTTCGWTGCTCTGACATCGGTGACTTTCCACGCATATGCGCTTCCAGGACAGAAGCTACAGGAGCGGTATTTGACATCTTTTCCTGAAACTGTTGAAGCATTGAACCTTTCCCGCTCTTCTGGTCCTAGAGGTTTGGAAAAATAATAATTTGGGTCTCGCTGTGGATTCTCCAGACCGGGCTCTGCATTCGTCGGCGTCGGCGACTTTAGCCTAATCCTAGAGACAGGTTGCGCTGTCTTTGCTATTCCAGGAGTGGGTGCGAACAGACAAAATTTCATCTCATCTTCGTCTTCGACATGTTCCTCAATCTGTGGAGCTTCCTGCTCGATGAACTCGAAGGGTATTAAATCTTTTGCATAGACAGATGTTGGGGAGGCATCAGGTGAGCTTGCTTCAGAGTTTAGATCCGCCCTGGTCACGGTGCGCTCCATTTCTTGTGTCGGAGGAAGAGCCCGCTGTGGAAGAACTGTCGAAGCATTCGCTTGTCCAAAGATATGATGGCTAGCGTGATTTTAAGCTTTATTAGCGCGCTTCCCCTAACATCACGTGGTAGTTGTCGATATCAAGTTATTGAAAATGCGATGGATTCAGATACATGTATCTACTACAGTGTCCGAATCAAACTCTTCACATAACTTTCCACGAGCAATGAAATGTAAGTCAGCCAGTGACTATTGTGCTCCACCATAACTTCAGCCTTCGTCCTCAACGACCACATGGCCGATCAAGCGCAGAACTCTTTGGCAGAACGGTAGTTGCCAAACATACTGCCGCCTGAAGCAGCACCGCCACTTGGAGCACCACCGGAAGCAGCACCGCCGCTTGCAGCACCACCGGAAGCAGCACCACCGGAAGCAGSACCGCCGCTTGCAGCACCGCCGGAAGCAGCACCGCCGCTTGAAGTACCGCTGGTAGCAACATCGCCGCYGGAAGCACTGCCTGTAGTGACACTGCTGCCAGTGACATCGCTGCCAGAAGTAGAGGCGCTAGCTCCACCACCACCGTAAAGAGCTGGGCCGGGGATAGTATAGCTGTCCAAAGACTGGTAGATGCTGACCAGGACGCCAGGATCCTCAGCAGTGTACAGCGCAGTTCCCACCGCGCACTCAGCACCGGCATCGCAAGGGCTAGCCGTGCCAGAGCCGGTCACCTCAAAGTTGATACCTTCACAGTCTCGTTAGCTAGTGTTGAAAAATAGACATGTGTATTGACGAACACTGAGGGTAAGACTGCGCGCCGTCCGCCTGACCAGCACTGTGGAGAGCGAGAATCTCATGGCGCATCACGTAGTTTCCGGGAGCRAGGTCCGCAGGAACCGTGACGGTCGAGGTGAGATTGTTGGCCATCATGTCGTCGGTTGCCCATTTTCCGGGCGCCGTGGAGCCGTCGTTGAGTCCCTGAGCATCAATCTTGAAGAAGTTCAATGCCTCCTTATCGACAGAAGCGAACTCGCCGTCGACAGCGGCCATGTAGGTAATCACAGGACCCTTGTGGCTCTCTGGCCAAGTGTTCTGTCGGGAGAATGGTGTTAGGTTTTTGGTTTATCGCTACAAGACGAAGTTCCCTTACCCATTGCAGGTCAACAGTATCGCCGGCGGCGACTGGGACCACTCCAGTGCTAACAGTAGCACCTCTGTGGCAGATGATGTCTGGGTCGGCAAATGCGCTTGGAGCTACAAAGCCATTGTCTGAGTTCTCGGCATACCAGCCTGCCGTGTCTGGCTTGGGGTTCGCGTAGGACCACTCAGGAGAAGTGCCAGAAAACCACTCTCCGCCGGTGACGATGCCAGATACATATCCGTGGGCAGAGGCGAGTGGAGCGAGCGCAAAGGCTGCCAGGACGATAGCGGACTGGGTGTTGGACTGCATGGTGATTGAGAATAGAGAACAAGCGTGAATGAGCGTGAATACCAGTGAATGGCACGTAAAACGAATGAAGGGGAAGAGACGACCAGCGGAGATGATTGGGGATGAGGCAACAGAGACGAATTGTATGCTGCGATATATGTACTTGCCTCCACGGTTGCTTATGAAATCTACCGAGCCGTGCCTTTGAGTGGAATGCAGCTCGATTCCATCGTGGCGTCTTCAATTCACTACGTTTGATACGTTGTGTAAGCCAGTGAAAATGTCTCACGCCCCTTCCAGAGGTGTGGCAGGCTGGTAGTAGTTTGGTCGCTTAGCAAGTCTATGGGACCGTGGAGTGGAGCACAACTCGAAACTATTGTGGCATTTACCAGAGCGGATCAACGATACGTTCGCTGATACTGGTTCGTTCTGCGCAGTGGGGAGATCCAGCGCCGCTCCGAGGTGTAGCGGTCGTTGTGGTCAAAGGAGACTGTCCGCGGACTCCACAAAATCCAGGTTGCACTTCATTCCACCATGGGCGTAAATTAGAGTGCAATACCTCCAACTGTATGGAGATGATCGCCGGATAGGATGCCAAGGCCGGTGTAGATTACCTCGTCTAGGTGAAACGAGGTTCGAGCAAAGGTGACGTGCGACACTTCGCGCGGTCGAAGATGAATGCCTGCAGGCTGAGCGGCGTGTCTGACATGCATTGTGTACAAGTGGGTGTGGTAGTATAGCATGTCTGAAATGGCTTGGATGCGACACGGCTCAAACCCAACAGCGTCAGCGGGGGAGAATATCCACCAACTGCCGCATGATTTCCATAGTGACTCCAGTATTTCTGCGATAGGTCGTTTCATAAAGAGGCAGTCGCAGGTCATTCCCGATGGGGAGTTTGCACCTTTTGCTATGCTCGGCCCCTCGCAAGTCTGTTCAGGCACAATGTGCTGGAAGAAGTTGATGCTTGATATTTTCGGGTGTGACCGGCATCACAGCATCGCTTGTTGAATAAGGTCCGGAGCGCCTTCGCTAAGTCGAAAATCCCAGAGACGGTGCATGATTCCTCACAAAGCATCGAGTGGTCTGTTGAAACCACCCACTCTGTTCATGTACTGGCGGTACTCGGCCTTTTTGGTCTTGTACACGCCGTAGTTCTTGTCGTTGCCCGGTACCTTGGTGTTTTTCGTCGAACGGAAGCTTTGGAAGCCCATCATGCGCTTCATCTTCGCATCCTCGTCTTCATCTTCGAGGTCATCCACCATTTTCGTATCCTCTTGCCTTTCTTGTTTGGCTGCTCCATTCTTCAGACCCGCGGCACCGAATTTACCGTCTCCCATAGCCCGCGAAGATTGTCTGTCGTCTGTCCGCCGGTTCGGTGGGCTCGCTGCCGTCGAATCCCTGCTGCGCTGGAAGTCGCGATCGCGGTCTGAGCGGGGCGGTGGTGGTCCACGCTGTGCAGGAGGTCCTCGTGGCGGAGGTGGAGACCGCCTTCTCTCATCCTGGCGGTCGCGTCGTGGCGAACGTGATCGGTCTCGACCTTGCTCTGCACGTCTGTCAGCTGCTGGCCATGTGTTTTCACCAAAAGACGTCTCACCGTAGCGTGGCTTGTGACTGCGGGTGTCATCTCTCGGGCGACGGTCATCTCTCCTATCATCCCGCCTATCATCTCGTCGAGAAGAGTTTCGGTCCATGGTGGTGGTGTCTTGGTTGAAGATGGAAAGTTTGACGTTGAAGCTGGTCGCAAGTAGCTCAAAAGATATGATTGGCGATCTTCTACGCCTGAGGCACAAAATTTACCGGCCGCACATCAAGTACATTTTGGGGACATTAGGATATTTCAATCGAATTTCATGTGAGGAGCTCATATTCTTAATTGGGTAATTGCAGCTTCCAACATTTCAGCGTCTTGTTGGAGGAGCAGCCCGCGGGAATGGCGAAAACATCGACCGCAGCCGACCGGGTATCAACTATATCTCATCCTCATCTTCGTCAAAGTCGTCTTCAGAGCCCAAATCGTATAAAATTCTCCCACCATCACCGCCGCCGTTCTGTGCATCGAAGTATGGAAGCACAACACCCTCACGGTCTCGTTTCTGCCTCTCCGTGAGACCAAGCTCAAAGGTGGTATCTGCCTCAACGCCTTCCGTGGGAGCGCCACCGGTCGTCGGCTCCGGTGATCGATACTGGGCGTGATCCTCCAGAAGAATCACAATCTCCTTCGGCCGTGTTGATGAGGTCGAAGAAGCCGGTGCCGACTTGAAGTGAGGTAAGAAATACCACTCCCGTACACCCCGTCCACTCTTACGTCTATGCTCCATCTCAACCACGACATCTTCCACACCATTGGCCCCGAGTCCCTGCAGAACACCCTCTACGCCTTGATCCAGACCAAAACTGGGCTCAGCATGACTTCGTTCGCGAGCAGCCTTTCTGGCAAGTACGTGGTGTAAAGAGTGTACAGTAAAGATCGTCGTGGCCAGATATCTGAGCAAAGTCAGAGTGGAAGGGGCATATGGATCGTGAGCGGATTTTGTAGTAGGCAACGGGACATCCAGATGGTAAAGGGCGAGGAGCGAACATGATGGTCCGATAAACGAGGACAAGAGACCGGGAAGATTTGTACTGTTGATAGCAGCCAGAGAAGTGAGATCGTCAAGCACCAGAAGTTTCTCTGTCATGATGGTCAGTGWTGTAGTTTGCAGTGCTCTTAACGGGTCATACTGGAAGTTGGATCGTTCTTGAGGTGGTTGATGACCTCTTTTTGCCAATTCTGCAAAGAGTGCTTCCAGGCTTCGACGAAGAAGTCGACATTCCGAGGCTTGCGTAGAGTGCTGAACGATACGAATATCACTTGGATTTTGGATGTCTGTAAATTCTGTCAGCATGACCCTTTCGCAAAAAGCAGAATGGCATTTGCCTACATTTGCGCGTTTCATGTGCTCTGCGAGCAGAGGTTTGCCCGACTGCTCAAGGCTATCAAGCACCAGACTGAATGGAGATGCCGCATCGCGTTGATTCAGCAGTTTCGAGATGAGCAGCAGATTATGTGTGCGGCGGTGTTGTATGGAAGCCATCCAAGAGAAAAGTGTGCGGGTGTTGTAGTAAATTTGGCGAGGGTCTCAGGATTTAGGCAAAGAACGGCGCTTGTCTTCCATCACTCATACGAATGGACAACATTAATGAAGGATACTTTTGTATTTCAGTTCGTAATCTCACATTGAAAAAAAGTAAGAGAACACTGTCGGGTGCATGCTTTCCATCCTATCAATTCGTAGTGGCGTCCATGTTCTCTCCACCGTCTAGAGTCTCTGGCTTGTCATCTTCCTTCTCCACGTTCTCGTCCTGCCGCACACCCCAGGTCTCCTCCCGACGCGCCTCCTTCCAATCATCCCATAGACCTAGCGATCGGTCTCGACCGGCTTGCATAGCCTCATCTCGCCACTTCTTCGTCTCCTTGCCGTCTTTCAAGTCATTATGCCAATTTTCGGACTCAGTCTTGATGCGCTCCAGATACATGGTCTTGAAAGGATGTACATCGGGGTTATGAGGCCTGCCTTCTGGTGCCTCGGGTAGTAGCTCATACAGGCGCTGTCTGGCCTCAGGCGGCAGTAGTTCCCAGGCCATCTCCTTTTGAAGGACTGCCTTCATCGAGGTTAAACACTACACGCTGGAAGTCCATTGCGCATGTGACTTACAGAAATCTTGCCCACCTTGCTGAGTTTTCCATTGGAAGCCGTGAGCCACTTCTTCTGGGTCGCTAATGATGCAGCCATCTTTTGGTCCGTCGTTGCTGTTGACGTCGTTCTCAGGTATACACGGACGACTGGCAGGTGTCACTTGAGTTTGCTTTCAGCCGCTTCATAGCCCGGGACAAAAGCCCCAGCGAAGTTCAAATGAAAGAACGGACAGCTGGTTTGTAGCGTACACTAAGCAAACGCTGCGAAGAAGAGTGTTGGAAAACTTATCCTGATGAGCTCATTGTCACGGCTGACGCGAATTCAAACGACAGTCGACCACAAAATTGGAGCTCAGCAAGCAATGCTCGCATTTGTGCAGCGATCCGATTCTTCCAAAAGTTGCAAGTTGATGCAGCGAGAGTGGGTGTCGAATGCTCGGAAGGTTGGGATTGCGAGAGAAGCGGCAGGGACGGCGTACAATTACTCACGCTAACATCTACTAGCGCAGACACGCGACGCGTCGACCGCGTTTGATTGTCATCGTTCGAAGATCAGTGTTCACACAGTCACATTATTGATCACCCAACATGGCGAATGTCGAATCCGAGATCAAGACGCATTTTGCGCCGCCAGATGCCTCCCTTCCACAAGATGTACTCACCGAACTGGTCCATATCGTTCAACTCATGGGCATATCCGCYGAGGATCTCTACTACAAATGGGACAGCTATGTGATCACCATGGGCGCGGAAACCACCAAGCTCGACTACAAGACGATACGCGATTTCAAAAAGAGTTTGCAAGACACGTTGGAGAGAGAATCACGGAAAGGAAACGTCACACATGCGGCCACCAAGAGGACGGCAGCCACACCGCGAGTAGGAGCAAGCGGTGGAGATGTCTTTGGCATGCTGGACGGCATGGTCTCGAACACACCCGCAGCTCGCAACTCAATGGCCAAGCGTAAGGCCAACTTTGACACGCCCACATCGAAATCTGCAAGAAGCGGGCTGCATAGCTCACCTGCTGACGGCAAGACTCCTGGCACGGGCGCAGCGAGGAACCTCCCCACGGTGGCTTTTGCAGACAGGCAGAATGCTGGAGATGTAATCGAAAGCATCAATTCTCACCTGCCGGCTGCCGCTGTCCCAGAAGTCCCTCCCACCGAGGCACGAATCAGACTCAAAGCTGCCACTGACCTGCCAAAGTTTGCCTACAAACCCATGGCCATGAAGTTGTCGGAGGCGTCCGAGTTTCTGGATGATCGAATCGATAGCTTCATGGAGGTGGTCCAAAAGCACTATGAATTAGAAGACTCTGCGTTCGGCAACCCAGCCGCCCAGTCCACCGCCGAGATCGTGGCAGTGGGACGCATTGCATGCGATCCATCTGAAGGCAAACTCACCTCCACCAACATGGTTTTAGAAACCTCTCGCAGAATGGGCGCTGGACTGCGAGTGCCTCTCAAATTCGCGGAGAACGTGTCTTTTGACGTTTTCCCGGGCAAGATCGTTGCTCTGCGTGGCACCAATGTCGGCGGCCAATCGTTTCTCGCCTCTGAAGTCCTCCCTCTGCCTAGCTTACCACCAGCCGCCCATCGGCCATCCGACATAGAAGTATGCAATGACCGCCTTGTGGGCGCAGACGGCGAGACGAGACCGTTGAATATGGTCATTGCCAGCGGGCCTTTTACGCAGGAGAACGACCTGTCATTCGCTCCGCTGCAGGCCCTTCTCGACAAAGCTGAGGCAGAGACTGCTGATCTCCTCCTTCTCACCGGTCCGTTCCTTGATCTTGAACATCCCGTTGTCGCATCTGGAGACTTCGAACCTTACTTGCCCAGCGACGCGAAGATCTCGCCCGACCAGGCAACTATCACGGACGTGTTCCGCGTTCTCATCGGCCAACCTTTGCAAAAACTTGCGGCTGCCGTGCCGTCAATCACCATCGTCCTTGTCCCCAGTCTCAGAGATGCCGTCAGCAAGCACGTTGCGTGGCCCCAAGATCGCGTCCCCAAAGCACAGCTTGGACTTCCACGACAAGCTCAATTCGTCGCGAATCCCATGGCACTTTCAATCAACGAGATTCTTCTGGGAGTCTCTTCACAAGATGTTCTCTCCGAACTCCGACGTGAGAATGTGTACCAAGCGGCAAAAGGCGCAATGCACTCCGACATTATGGGCAGGTTAGCAGGTCATGTCATTGAGCAAAGTCATTACTTTCCTGTCTTCCCGCCTGCTTCCAGAGAAGATCTTCCCAAGCCAATAGGTATCCACGAAGAAGTACCCGAGGTTGGAGGGGAGGAGAGACTGGCTCTTGGTGCGAACCTAGATTTGACATATCTGAAGTTGGGGGAATTCTGGCAGGCCAGGCCGGACTTGCTGATCCTACCAGGGGTCTTGAACCCCTTTGTCAAGGCATGTATAAGTGCTTCGCAGATGAGAACGTAACTGACTTGATTTGAACAGGTCATCGACGGCGTCTTGGTTATAAATCCAGGGACACTGTCCAAGAAACGCGGTGCAGGTACATATGCTGCATTGGCCATTCAACCGAGAACGTTGACAGACGAGGATCGAGAGCTTGGAGAGAAAGGAGAGATGATTGCTAATTTGGTATACGAGCGAGCAAGGAGCGAGATCAGAAGGATATAATCTTGATCTGCTGGCACCCATTCGCGCACTGAGTTACAAGGCACAGGTCGTTGATGATTATTCGATTGTACGAAGCTCGCATATGGGAGCATTCACTTCAGTTGCAACCCACCGTCTTCATCTTGCATTTCAAGCACTGACGAACGAACTATGGGCCTGGCCAGAGAATCCGCTGGCTTGGGTCATCTGCGACCATTTGCTGTCGTTGAGACATGCCTGCTTGAAGCTGAAACGCGGCACGTCTGAGTTGCTTCGCGCCGTGGCAGCATTGGCGTGCAGTTGAAGAAGAAATTGAACATTGCACATTCGCGACTTTCGGACCCACTTCGTTCCATGCATGATGCACGATGCTTCTTCGTGTCTTCCATATTCCGCCTCCTTTTCTAGCCGCCTTCTAGCATCACTTGAATCTGACGTCGTACAGCAGGCTTAAAGGTCCGAGAGCGAATGAAAATATCTTGAATAGTGCCGAACCACATCCGACACTTCTGAGATGGGCCGATATCTCGGTGGCATCGCGGACTCTCCGCTTTCGAAGGCGTTTCAGTTGGAAATGAAGGCCATGTGGGTTGCAAACGTGTCGACCGACCATGGTGATGAGCCATCAACGATTGAGCCATTCAAATCGACTCGGATCGTTGATGTGAAGCACCTTGCTTGGACAACAAGAGGATCGAAAAGCTTTGCGCTATTGACGTAATGATGCTCCCGAGCTCGGGCCGCACCTTCGCGGATAGTCCTATCCTGGTGAAGATCATTTTCAACGACGACGTCCCACCTGCAGATTTGATGATTTGCGCAAGCTTTTTATCAGAGACTTCGCAAGAACCGATCCACCCGGAGCGCATCTCAGGCAGCCTGGCTCATTCAGCGACATGTGGCATCATCCGAGTCTTGGTTCTCGCCCATACCAGCAGGCACATCCGAGGCCAAGAGTGTGAGGTGCTGTCAACCTCAGAATGATCAAATTCGGTCACTGCTATATCAGCTTACTTATCCGGGATATGATGTAGCCAAGACGACGATTTCCAGCTAGGATCTTTGGAAAGTTCTAGCTGTGGCAACCCTAAGTAGGTCGGATTCGTAGTATCCGTCCAGACTCCAGAGCTAGCTACATTCCAACGAGCATTTGATGGGGAGTCGGCATCAGATCCCCACAAATGCAGACATCCTGGAGACAGAGTTGTTGAACAAGTCGTGCAGCCACGAGACGCACAAAGTTAAACGCCGTCATTCGTTGCAATGAGCCCGAGTGATGATGGAGTCGTGGGGCCCTTCACGGAGGCCCATGGAACAGTCCGCAATTATATATGGGTCTGCCAGGCATCTTACCAACGCAACCTTTCCTAGTCGAGACAATGGGGCCGTGTGATCTTGTAGATTTTCCTACCTTCCTCAAACTCACGGAAGTGCTTGCCCGCTTCTAGCAAATCGGACCTCGTGGACAACCTGGAACAGCTCGCCAGCTCGCCAATTGTCGGACCGTGATGCCGCTTCGACATTAAAAGCACCTTTGCTCCCTTTTGGCTTTTTCCTTCCTCCAGATCCTCCATCTCCTCTTCATCACACAAGCTTCCAAGATGGGCTTCCTCAAACGCACCGAGCAGTCAGCGCAGCTGGAGACAGCTCCTACTGCTGCTCCAGTGACCGCACAAAAAATCACCTTCATCGCAGTATGGCTTGGACTGGTTGCCAGCATAGGAGGCTTCATGTTCGGCTATGTACGTGAGAATGGAATGAACTGAACGAATGCATGATGACTGACTGGATTTTATGGGAATAGGTATCAGGACAAATCAGTGGCTTCTTTAGCATGGACGACTATGCACGACGATTCGGAGACCTACAAGGAGACGGCACATACACCTTTTCGCCCACCAAGCAGGGCTCCATCACTGGCTTCCTCTGTATCGGCTGTCTATTCGGATCACTCATCGCCGGCAAGATTGCTGATGTCTTTGGTCGCAAGATGTCAATTTCCTTGTCTGCTTTCTTCTGCTGCATTGGAACTGTGATTGAGATTTCGTCGGAGACTTCTTGGGTCCAGTTCGCAATTGGCAGAATCGTCAACGGTCTGGGAATTGGCTCCCTGTCTGTCTGCGTGCCAATGTGAGAAGACACAGAATTAGTTCCGACGATGCGCGTTCTAACATCGTTCTAGGTACCAATCCGAAAGCTCCCCAGCGCTTATCCGCGGTGTTCTCGTTGCCTCGTACCAACTCTTCATCACTCTTGGTATCTGGACCGCCGAAATGGTCTGCTACGGTACAGAAACAAACTCCAACAGCTCTTCCTGGAGAATCCCCAACGGACTTTCATTCCTCTGGGCCCTGATCCTCGGAGGCGGTATCCTGTTCCTCCCAGAGAGCCCTCGATACGCATACCGAAAGGGCCGTACCGACGAAGCTCGCATCACCATCGCACGTCTAGCTGGACTCGAGCCAGACTCCCGTGAAGTCAACATGCAGATCAACGAAATCCGCGTTGCATTGGAAGAGGA